CCAGTTCAAGTCCCAGCTGCTCCATTTTTAATCCAGCTTTCTGCTAATTCATCTGGGAATGCAGCAGAAGATGGCCTGAGTATGTGGGCCCCTTCCACCCATGTGGGAGATCCAGATGGAATTCCAGGCTCTGGCTCTGCCTGGCCCTGACCTGGCTGTTGCAGCCATTTGGGGGAGGGAACCAGGAGATGGAAGATCTCACTCCTGCTCTGTACTTTGTGTTTCAAATAAATAAACCTTTTATGAAAATTGATAAATTCTTGACAAGATTAACTAACAAAAAAGGCAGACTGTAGCCAAACTGAACACATCTTTCTTTGCCTCTTCACATTCTGATGAATGAAGATTAACTGCTGAACTCGTGACTAATCAAGAGTGTTCAGTTAGGGCTGGTGTTGTGGTACAATGGGTGAAGGTTCTGGCCTGCAGTGCTGGCATCCCATATGGGTGCCGGTTTGAGTCCCAGATGCTCTACTTCCCATCCAGCTCCCTGCCAGGTCCTTAGGCCCCTGCACCCATGTGGGAGACCCGGAAGCAGCGTCTGGCTCCTGGCTCCCATTGCAGCCATTTGTGGGAGTCATTATAGCCATTTGGGGGAGTGAACCAGCAGATGGAAGACCTCTCTTTCTGTCCCTACCTCGCTCTGTAACTCTATCTTTCAAATAAATAAAAATAAATAGATAGTGTTCAATTCAACAAAGAAATAATGCTTGGGTTGGGAGTATGGCACAGCAAGTTAGGCCACTACTTGCAATGCTGGCATCCCATATTGGATCACCAGTTAGAGTCCAGACTACTCAGTTTCCAATCCAGCTCCCAAGAACTTGGGCCCCTGCACCCATGTGGGAGACTTGGATGTAGTCCCTGGCTCCTGGCTTGTGCCTGACCCAGCCTCAGCTGTTGCAGCTATTTGGCGAGTGAACCACTGGATAGATCTCTTTCTCTGTCTCTCTGCCTTTCAAATAAATAAATCTTAAAAAAAAAAAAAAAAGGCTTGCTTGAAAATTCCAGAAACTGGCCTTGGAAAGACAGCTTCAGTTGGGAAGCAATCTGGTCTCCCTAGTCAGGATGACTACAGAATGAAAATAACTTTTGTGACTTCACCCAGTTTGCTATCACCTTGCCAGACACCAACACGCAGCTGGCCCTATCCTTTGTTCCACTTGTTCCCCCTTATCTTCCCTTTCAGTTCCTCTTTCTAGCTTGCAATTTAGGAAGAGCACATGTAAGGCTAAAGAAGTCTGCTTTTCCCCAGGAAGTCTGGCTTTCTGAATAATCTGTTAGCTTGCATCAACTTTGTCTCTCAAATGTTGGCTTACAAGTGGCGAGTAACCTGTGCTGAATTTTGACAGACAACAAGACTCAAATAACTAAAATCAGAAATGTAAAGGGAACATTAGACCTAATGCCACAGAAATAAAAAGGATTTTGAAAGTACTACGAGAAATTATATAAGAACAAATTGGATAAACTAAAATAAATGGATGTTTCTTAGAACACACAAACCATCAACACTGAGAATGAATAGAAATCTGGAATAGACCTATAACTAACTAGTAAGGAGACTAAATTAGTAATCAAAAATCTTACAACAAAGGAAAGTAATTGACCTGTGGTGTAGTAAGTTAAGCCTCCGCCTGCAGTGCTGGCATCTCATATGGGTGTGGTTTCTATTCCGGCTGCTCTACTTCCTTTTTTTTTTTTTTTCATTTGGGGCTGGCACCGTGGAGCAGGTTAATCCTCCGCCTGCGGTGCCAGCATCCTATACAGGCGCCGGTTCTAGTCCCAGCTGCGCTGCTCCTCTTCCAATCCAGCTCTCTGCTATGGCCTGGGACAGCAGTAGAAGATGGCCCAAGTCCTTGGGCCCCTGCACCGACATGGGAGACCAGGAAGAAGCACCTGGCTCCTGGCTCTGGATTGGTGCAGCTCCAGCCATTGCGGCCACTTGGAGAAGGGAACCAACAGATGGAAAACTTTTCTCTCTGTCTCTCCCTCTCACTGTCTGTAACTCTATCAAATAAATAAGTAAAATCTATTTTTTTTTTTTTTTGACAGAGTTAGACAGTGAGAGAGACAGACAGAGAGAAAGGTCTTCCTTCTATTGGTTCACCCCCCCAAATGGCTGCCATGGCCAGTGCGATGCACCGATCCGAAGCCAGGAGCCAGGTGTTTTTTCCTGGTCTCCCATGTGGGTGCAGGGCCCAAGCACCTGGGCCATCCTCCACTGCACTCCTGGGCCACAGCAGAGAGCTAGACTGGAAGAAGAGTAACTGGGACAGAATCTGGCACCCCAACCGGGACTAGAACCCAGGGTGCTGGTGCTGCAGGCAGAGGATTAGCCTAGTGAGCCGTGGCGCCACCCAATAAGTAAAATCTTAAAAATTTTTATTTATTTATTTTTAAATAAATCTTTTTCTTTAAAGATTATACTTATTTATTTCAAAGTTGGAGTTACATAGAGAGAGGAGAGGCACAGAGGTCTTCTATCCACTGGTTCACTCCCCAGTTGGCCAAAACGGCCAGAGCTGTGCTGATCCGAAGCCAGGAGCCAGGAGTTTCTTTGGGTCTCCCACACAGGTGCAGGGGCCCAAGGACTTGGACCATCTTCTACTGCCTTCCCAGGCCACAGCAGAGAGCTGGATTGGAAGAGGAGCAGCCCGACTGAAACATTTTCCTCTCAGTTCAGGAAAAGACAACAATGCCTACTCTTGCTACTTCTAGTCAGTCAGAACAGGAAGTTCTAGCCTGAGCAGTTAGGTAACAAAAAAAAGAAAAATGCATCTAATTGAAAAGTAGTAAGTGGAGATAGAGATGACATGATTATATATACAAAATCAATATATAAAAATCAGTTGCATTTCTGTAATCTAACAACGAACAATTCAAAAGGAAACTGAGAAACCAACTTTATTTATAATCATTTCAAAAACAGTACGATATTTAGGCATGAAAGTAAAGAAGGACAGATGCTGGTTTGTATCCTGGCTGCTCCACTTCTGATCCAGCTACTTGTTAATGACCTGAGAAAAACAACAGAAGATGACCCAAGTGCTTGGGCCCCTGCCACACATGTGAAAAACCCAGATGAAGCCCCTGGTTCCTGGCTTCAGTCTGTTCCAGTAACCTTAGGAATGAACCTGCAAATGGAAGATCTCTCTCCTTCTCCCTCTTTCTATAATTTTGCTTTCAAGTAAATAACTCAATCTTAAAAAAAAAAAAAAAAAAAAGTAAAGGAGAGAAAGAGGTAAACTACTTGCAAACGGAAAACCATTTAATAATAGTGAAAGATGGGGCCAGCGCTGGCATACCATATGGGCACCAGTTCGACTCACAGCTGCTCCACTTCTGATCAAGTTCCCTGCTAATGTACCTGGAAAAGCAGTGGAAGATGACCCAAGTACTTGGGCCCCTGCACCCACATGGGAGACCCGAAGAAACTCCTGGCTTCTGGCTTCAGATCAGCCCAGCTCCAGTGATCGTAGCCATTTGGGAAGTGAACAGCAGATGGAAGATCTCTCTCTCTCTCTCTCTGTAATCTGCCTTTTCAAATAAAGTAAGTAGGGGCCGGTGCTGTGGTGTAGCGGGTAAGGCTGCAATGCCTGCAATGCTGGCATCCCATATTGGCACCAGTTCGAGTCCTGGCTGCCCCACTTCCAATCCAGCTCTCTGCTATGGCCTGGGAAAGCAGTAGAGGATGGCCCAAGTCCTTGGGCCCCTGCACCCACGTGGGAGACTCAGAGGAAGCTCCTGGCTCCAGATTGGCTCAGCTCCGGCCATTGTGGCCAACGGGGGAGCGAACCAGCGGATGGAAGACCTTTCTCTCTGTCTCTACCTCTCTCTGTAACTCTTTCAAATAAATAAAAAATTTTTTTAAAAAAGAAAATAGACAAACTGGATTTCATGAAAATTAAAACCTCTGGTGTATCCAAGGACACTATCAACCATTAAAAGGCAGGAGAGAAAATATTTGCATCATATATAAGGGAATAACTAAAATACAACAACAAAAAACTCAATTTAAAAAATAGGCAGAGGACCTACACAGACAATTCTCAAAAGATGCTATATAAATGGCCATAAAAAATGCTCAACTTCACAAATCAGTATGGAAATGCAAATCGAAATCATAATAAATCACCTTCCAACCATAAAGATAATAGTTACTATTTAAAAAAAAAAAAACAGAAAATAACAAGTATTGTTGAGATGTGGAAAAACTGGAATCCTTGTGCACTACTGGTAAAAATTTAAGATGGTACAGCTGCTACAGAACACAATATTGCAGTTCCTCAAAAAACAGTAGCTAATCACCTAGCAATCTCACTTTGGGAAACATGTCCAAAAGAAATGAAAACAGGATTTTCAAGTTGTATTTGCACACAGTAATCATTGCATCATCATTCACAAGTGTCAATAGGTGGAAACAACTCAAACAATTCATCTCTCCATTAACAGATGTATGGAGAAACAAAATGTGGTATACATACACAATGGAATATGATCCAGGTTTAGAAAGGAAGTAAATCCTGTCAAATGCTACAACACAGATGAATAATTCTGAGGGTATTATTAAGTGAAATAAGACAAATCCTATACAAGTCCATTTATATGAAGTATTTAAAGTAGTCAAGTTCATAGAAACAAAACAGAATGGTAGTTAACAAGGGCTGAAAGGAGTGTGAAAAACGGAGTTCTTTAACAAGTACAGAGTTTCAGTTTTACAATTATGAAGTAGTTCTGGAAACTGCTGCACAACAATGTTGGTAAAATTAATGCTGATTGAATTGTACCCTTGCAAGTGGTTAAGATAGTAAATTTTACTAAGACTGTCTTCTATAATTAAAAAATATTTTCATTAAAAAAATCACCATATCTGGACAACTAAGACTGAAATTGGACCCCAGTGTCATTTAAACTACTCCTTCCAAAGTAAAAGTTAATTGCCAAACACATGGAACCTGGACCAACCCTCCCTCTGTACTGATGTGCTTCCAACTCACCTTCGCTTCGGAGCCCTAATGAAGAGCTCACAGAGGAGTCTGCCCTGCTCATCTTTATAGTCTCGTATAGTGTTGTAGAGTTCATGGCACACAGCAATCTACACATAGGAAAAGGAGAAAGATCATTAAAAAAAAATAGAAAGCTAGCATAGGAATAAGGATTATCAAGTATCCGTCAATAACAATATACCCACAAAAGGACAAAGCCCCAAATTATCACATGGAAATCCAAGTCTGATATAAAATAATCTAATTGAGCTAGTTTTTAGTACCTTCTATTGGATTTATGCTACTTAGTATTTTTCTTTTAAACTCAATCAGTTCACATTATTCTCTCGCTTAAAATCACTCACCAAAAGGGCTTCACACAACACAGAAGAAGATCTAAACGACTACCACTGTCTATAAAGGTGTTATGTTCTCTAGTTGGGAAGAGCTGACCAGTCTCCTTCTCTCTCCTGACCATTTCTCTGTCTTCACAACACACTAAGCCCATCCCTGACCTAACCCCTCTGCCTAGAACACACTTCTCTAGGGTTCTGTCCCTCTGCTCTCCCAAACAGCCTGCATCACCCAAGTTTTCTTCTTAGCATTTATCACTAGCTAAGAGTAACTTAGTATTTGTTCACTTGGTTTTATTATGCTTCCTTAACACTGGGATCCTAGCTCTGTATGAAAAATGGGCTTGTCTCATGTATCTGTATCCCAACCACCAGAATAGTGCTTATCACATAGCAAGCACACACACACACACACACACACACAAACATGATGTGACATTCTAATATTCAGTATTCCATAGTATTAAAGTACACTATTACTTTTTTTTTTTTTTTTTGACAGGCAGAGTGGACAGTGAGAGAAAGAGACAGAGAGAAAGGTCTTCCTTTGCCGTTGGTTCACCCTCCAATGGCCCCCGTGGCCGGCGCACTGGTCTCCCATGGGGTGCAGGGCCCAAGCACCTGGGCCATCCTCCACTACATTCCTGGGCCACAGCAGAGAGCTGGCCTGGAAGAGGGGCAACCAGGACAAAATCCGGCGCCCCGACTGGGACTAGAACTCACTCTCTCTCTCTCTCTGCCTTTCAAATAAATAATCTTAAAAAAAAAGAAGACCATCAAGTCAAAGGAAAAAGAAGTAGAGATGTCCTCCATCTCAGAAACTACCACAAAACACAAAAGGGTAGGAAAAATGTGGAACAAGCAGACAGGAGCAGTGTGATCCGAGCTACTCACAGGATCTACAGTTGGAAGATTGGAAAGTCTTCTCCTTTTCCTGCTTGGGCCTGGTGTGGACACAGAATGGTGCCCGTCATCAAAGTCCCCACTGACACTGCTGGAAGGGGAGGTAGCTCTTCTTCTCTTGGAACCCATGGAATCCAACTTCTTCTATAAGAAATAATTAGCCATGTCCTTATGTTTAAATTTAGACTCTGCCCCCAAGCCCTCAGCTAGTCACCTGCCACCAAATTTTTGGCTCACCCAAGAAGATATTTTAATTCTTACAAAAGAGTGTAACTACTTAGACCCTTCTACAGTTTAAGTTGTGGACCACTGTTTCAGCCTTCTCACTTACCAGAACATAATACTTTCAATGGTGAGGGGACAAATTCAGTAAAAGTATACAACTGTGAATGACTCGACCACTTCTGGCTCTAAATTTACCCTGGACTGGTGTTTCCCAACTCATATGGAATGGTACTTTGGTGTACTGAAGGTACTAATCCCTCAGCCTCTGCTTTTCCATGTGCCTTACAATTATGATGGTTTTCCAGGGGGGCCATGATGCAGAAAAGGGTAGGGAGGCAGTGCCTAAGGCAAATGAATAGTGGGGAAAAAGTACAGGGACAAAGGACAATGATCCTTGTAGCATTTTATAGTTAACATCCTGAAAACGAATGTTCTTCAGTCATTTAAGCAGAAACTGCAAGATGTACCCTTGGAAAACACTTAGGATAACTTGCCATACGTAGGCAGAAGTAGTAGAACTGTGCTTTGCAAGTCTTCTGTTAATCCAGACTAACCTCCCTTCAGTTATATGAGGTCCTCTATCCTGACGAATTTTGAAATCACAGATTCCAGTTTCAGTAAATAATCTGGAAGAACACCTCATAATGAGCTTTTAGGTCCTGCTTTATGTTCAGGAACACATAAATACTTGCTCTCAGTGTCAGGCGGCTGTAAATCATCTTAACACACTTTACAGGGATGTGCATTTCACTCTAACACCAGAAATGCAACCACAGAAATAATCTGCTCCACAGAGAAAAAGGATACAGAACTCAGAAAGTTCTACAACACGTACATAATTTAACAATAGTATCAAACACTATATTGTTAATTTGAAGGACTTTTTTTAAAGCTAAAAGAAAAAACAGATCCCAATTTCGCTGATCAACATTCAACTTTGGGAAACTAAGACACCAGCAGCTGAATGAGAGCACTGGTTGCCAGTAATAGAGAGAAAAGCTGGGGACCTGCAGGAAGGGAAAGCAGGAAGAAAACAAGCAGAAAGTTCTGGTAAGCAACAAGCAACAAAGAAGTCTCCTAGTTCTCCCTCCCAACTAAAGCCCACAGGGTATTTTAAAACAGAACCTAGCATAACAATGCCCCTTTTAGGCTTTGGTTTGTTATACAGTATATTGGTTTGAAGTTGACAGACAAGTTTTGTTGATTTTTGTTCCTTTTATAAAAAGCTGATAAAGTGGCCTCAATTCATTGAGAAAAAAAGGACCAATCCTTTCTAAACAATCCATAACAAGGACACAAGTGAATTTGGTGATCATGAAGAGGGAATTTTAATGGCAACGATAACAAAATTGAAGGAAGGTGGAAGGGAAAAGACAAGGGATGACAGAAAAGGGGGTGCAGATGATCAGTAATTTACCAGCTTTACCAGAGCACAACCAGCGCCTCGAAACGCCAGTCTCCTCATTATGTCTGAAGGCCAAGTGAAGCCAGTGGGAGAAGGCAGGGCTTTACAAGTGCTGATTCAGGGTTAGTATATTCAAAACTGAAAGAGAAGAACAAGGCAGAGAGACGGGAAATAGAAAAGAGGAGTCAGAAGGAGTACAACTGCGCACGAACAGACAGAACACATTCAAATAGAACTGCTACAGAAAGATAAGAGAACTGGAGAAAACAGGCCTATCAGTTCTCTTGTACCTATCAAAACACACTGCTACAAAGACTCACTAACAGTACTTGACATTTCTTCCATTTTAACACGGAGTGCTTTCGTACACTTAAACGTCTCACTGAGGGTCCCCTTTACTCACATGGAATGACTGTCAATTCCAGGAATGAAGCATGCCTGCCCACTGCCCCCTAGTCAATAAGAGCAGAGTTCAATCACAGAGCTGGAATGGAGAGTGAACACATGTGGGAGGCTCACATGTGACACCAAGTGTTGGCAAGCTGGAACAAACCGAGAATGGCTCATGTGAGCAACAAGTTCGGAAAACTCCTCCCCCAACCCCAAAATTCAGAGACAGACATTTCTTTCCAAAAGTCCTATTTGCACTGCAAAGACACAGCATATAAATTTAGCAAGGTTAAAAAAAAATGCCTTCAACGATTTTTGCAGTTCGAAATTACTTTTGCAAACAAACTGAAAACCAAATGACAAAAATATAAATTACCAGTGTGAGTACCTAGTTTAGATACAATACCCCAAATCCTGAATAAGAAAAAGATGCAATCCAATGATAACTTTCAAATATTTTCTTATCCAAAGGACATAGTTTAAAAATGTAATTTGGAAGTTTGGCAAGAAAGGCAATCTTGCAAGGCACAAGGAACGTCCACTCAAAACCAGAACAGGAGTCCCAGGTCTTTCACCTCTAATTATCTGTTTGATGTTGCCTGAGTCATAACCTCTCAGGTCTGTTTCCTCATCTCTAAGTGAGAACAGTAAAACGTGCACAGAGCCCTTGGATTGCTGAGACAGGGAAAGGAGACCCCAACTCTAGCACCACATGCTTCCTGGACACAGGAACAGCATCTTACTCAATTCTGCAGCCCTTACAGACTAATATTTCCTATAGGATGGGTGCTCAACTGTTGTTAATAAATGTACTGAAAGTGCACAAAAACAGGGTCTTTAAAAAAAAGGTCATTTGCATAATTTAAAGGCCTGAAAGCACCCTTCAGCAATTTTATTCCACGAAGAGATTCTGGAGTTCAATTCCAGGCTTTAAAAGGGCCTTGACTGTAGTCACAAGTCAACAAGTCTGACTGCCAATGAGAATTTACCATGGATAGTAAATAATACTTTATAATGTACAACTGGGAGAATATTTACTCTATATAGCCACATGGTATATTGTGACAGTCTATAAACTTTTAGTACTTTCCTATTTTTTAATGGTATTTAGTTCTGTAATACATACAAGCTTTAGAAAAAATACCAGGAAACCTAAGACTCAAATCAAAACTTAAAAAAAAAAAAAAATAGCACCCATAATCCTACTTCCCAAAGAAAAACTACTCAAATTTTGTGCTCAGAGCTTTTGGCATTCATCTATGCTTTAATAGCCTAATTTCTTTTAAACAAAAGTGTTAACAAACTCTATTATTATTATTATTATTATTATTATTATTATTATTTCATGGCCTCTGTTTTAAGTTAGGGAAGATTCTCCCAAGCTAGCGTTCTTCCTCATGATGTTTGATGTTTTGAGAGCAGTCTATCACAAAGATATAAAATTTATTTATCCAGGGAATTTTGGCAGAATATTAATATTTGAAGTGCTTTGTACACTCCCAAAGTCAAAGAAAATGGTCAAACTCCTTCCATTTCTCCAGACACATATTTGTTTCAGTTTTAATCTCAAACACCTCTTCAAGAGGTACTTTCCAACCTTCCACTCTGGATCTTAAAATCCAGACGGGCAATTCGCTAACAAAGAACAAAAGCAAAGATTTACTATTCTTTTATACTGGCATTGAGTACAGCCTGCTTCCCAGATTCGGGGGAAAGCGCAGTAACGAATGGAAAAACTCCAAGACCGAAAACCATTTGGAGTCCCAGTGTGGAGGAAAGGAACACGTTTTACTCCAGCATATGCCACTCCACCGCGTATTTGCCATTGGTTTTCCAGGATTCTTCCCTGTCTTTGCCGCTCTTTGTTCCTCTGCACATCGACTCTTATTCCTTCTAATAACCAAACTATGCTTCCCTTTCAGAACGTAAAAAACTTTGATGGAAAAATATTGTTTAAAAAACAACAACAGGCTGTTTTCAAACCGCGATTCTTTGTAGTGCAGCGAATGAGAAGCTGAAACACTTGATGTTTAGCCCCTACTCTCAAATACAAGTCGCAGTCACAAAAATACTCGGTCTGAACCGTCGCCCAGAAAGATAAAACGCGTCTCCTAAGCAGAGTTTGCTGTTGAGCCCTCAACAAACAACAACAAAAACAGGCCCTAAGCGGCGGCGCAAACGGAGGACCTGGCCGACCTGTCACTGGTAGGGGACTAAGGGAAACGTTGACAGCTTTGAAGCTGCCGGGCGACGAGCGGGAAAGCGGCGCGCGGAGTTTCCGGGCCGCAACGCGCCTTTGTCCCGGCCGGCAGGTGCGGCGAGGCTGCGGGGCCCGTCCCGAGGTCTTGCCGCCGCGCCCCGCCCCGCCCGCGCGCCCGGCCCGACCGGCGCGTCCCCACGGCCGGGGCGGGGCCTCCGCCGCGGCTCCCGCCCGCCCGCCCGGGCCCACACAAAGGCCCGGCGGCCGGCCGAAGGGGAGCGGCCCCGCCCGCCCCGGGCCCGGTCTTACCCAGCCGCTCCGCCGTCTGCAGCCCCGGCCGCGGTCGCCGACCGCCACGCCACGCCCCGTGGCCGCCACGGCTGCTGCTATTGCTCCTCCGGCCGCGGCCGCTGCCGTCGCTCCGGCACCCGCCGCCCTCACCGCCCTCACCCCTCCCAGAGCCGCCGCAAAACCAGCCTTGCTGCCGCCAAGCGAGCCTGGCTCCGCGCGACACTGCGTGCGCGCGCACGCGGAGGAGAGAAGGCGCGCTTTACGACGGTAACGTGACTGCGTGACGCTGGTTCGTGGCCTCAGTTCACACGTGGCGCTCGCCGAGGAAGGTTGCTGCTGCTTCGTTCTCTGCCGCCGCGGTTTCCGCAGCCAGCATGAAGCGGCCCAGTGAGTGGGATCGGCAAACGGGCTTGCAGGCGCCTCTTTTTCTGGTGGTTCCTGAACGCACCAGGGCGTTGGTCTCTGGGAGGTTGGGGCCTGCTGGTGGGCCGTTGCCCTGCTCCCGGTATACCCGAGCGTTGGGCGGCCTCGTGTCCATCCTGTTAAGCCCGGGCCGAGGGTGGAGAAGATCACGCCATATTGTCAGGAGACCGCGACTGAGCCAGGTGGCAGGCGGCGTGCGGGCGGGCTTGCTGAGCGGGGGAGCCGCTTCCCAAACCCACTGTTGCTCTCCTGCTTTATGATCCGTGGAGCTTACACGAAGTGGCAGTCGTTTTGGGACTCGTATACTGCTCTATGTGATTTCCGTCTAACACGGAAACAGCAGGGATTTGGGGCTCCGTTCCGGATCTGGGATTTGAGAGTAGCATCTGTGTTTTTATTCAGCGCCCCACATGATTCTTAACGTTAGGTTTGACATAATACACAAGGGTGTGACTCTAGTTCACTCACGGAAAACTAAACCAGGCCGTGTTATGTGTTTCTTTGTAGAGTTAAAGAAAGCAAGTAAACGTATGACCTGTCACAAGCGGTATAAAATCCAGAAAAAGGTAAGTGTTGCGCTTGGGAGAGCTGTACTGAAAAAGGCTGTTAAGCCGACTAATGCCCTGGCTCTCCCTCATCGAGAAGTCTGGAGTAAAGATGGAGTCTTCGGGAGGTGGAACGGGATGGACTGACCAAGCACGGCACAAGCTCTCAGTGATCAGGAGTGCAGCTTTGGGAGGGCGCAGTGTTTGGTGTACGGAAGCCTGGGAACTTCCACGTAGTCATCTCTGCAAGGAGAGCCTCCTAGTGTCGTTCTGTTGCTGTTTTTTTAAGTATATATTTTGCTGTCTGTGACTCCCATTAAAGATCCATTTTTCTTGGGGCATTTTACAGGCATGACTAGGTTGTATGCATATTGGTCTCTTACTTGAATTGTGTTGAAGTAGAAAGGTATTTTTTTGTAAACTGATTAAATGTCTTGTCATCATAGATTCGAGAACACCACCGAAAATTGAGAAAAGAAGCTAAAAAACAAGGTCGCAAGAAGCCAAGGAAAGACCCAGGAGTTCCAAACAGTGCTCCCTTCAAGGAGGCCGTTCTGCGGGAAGCTGAACTAAGGAAACAGCGGGTAAGCTGCGGTAGCCCAAACTTGGAGTAACTGCGGAGGGGTGGGTGCATTTTTTTCAGAGGGAGCTGTTGCCAGCAGTCACTGGCTTAACCTGTCTGATGTGTTGGACACAGCTGGAAGAACTAAAACAGCAGCAGAAACTTGACAGGCAGAAGGAGCAGGAGAAGAAAAGAAAACTTGGAAGCAACCCTGGTGCTAGGCCGTCTGACGGGGAACCTGGCAAGGAGGTGAGAGTGATAGATGAGTTCTGATGCAGAACTAAAAGCATGTACAGGGGCAGGGGCTGGTGAGCCTTGAGGAGGAGGAGTGATTCCGATTCTGTCTTACACAATATCACCTGCAGCGCCTCAGTCAGCTGTGCGGATACAGGTACAGATTACAGCTGCTGCACTGCTGGTTTTTATGTCTTTTCCCCCTTCTCTGTTTTCTAGGCACTTGGACAATGCACAGCCAAAAACAAAGCCAAGTCCCGCAAGCAGAATCCAAAGAAGTTACATTGTCAGGAGCTTAAAAAGGTATCTGAGTCGTGCTTCGGCAGCACATATACTAAAAAAGGTATCTGAGTCTAGGTCAGTGCCTAAAAGTGGTGAAGAGGTTAAAAGACAAAGCAGCAGTCAAGTTCACTACCTAAGGCCTTGTTATGTTTAGCTGACAGCAGTGTGTTGACAGTGGTTTTAAGTTTGAGGTAAGCAGTGTGAAAATGCCGGTCTCTAAAGTACTCTGTTGAAGCTTAAGTGATGGAAATGGAGAAAGAAGGTGGTGTCTTTTTGGTGTAGTTGCTCCCCGGGCTCTCCTCCCTACACCCATTTCCCCAGGGTCATTCCCCTCCAGGTGACTCTGCCTCTCATAACTCCTGGTGAGGTCAAAAGGGTTGGCCAGACGACAGGATTCCCTACAGAAATGAGAGCAGCAAACAGTAGAGGGTATTTCTGCTTGTGAAATCCACGCTGCTGAGCAAGCCTATTGGTTTTACTTCTGGGTGAGAAATGATGAGCATGTCAGTATTCATACCAAAGTGAAGACATGAGATCCAACTCTGAGCTCACCATATCGCCCAGTGGATGGTACGGGTTCCCAAGGCAAGGGCTGCAGTTGGGGCTGTTCTGCCCGGACAGGTGATCGCTGCCTCGGACGTCGTGCTGGAGGTGCTGGACGCCAGGGATCCTCTCGGGTGCAGGTGTCCTCAGGTCGAAGAGGCCATTGTCCAGAGCCAACAGAAGAGGCTGGTGCTCGTGTTAAATAAGTCAGGTGAGCACAGGGGCTGTCCTTCCTCTCCCATTGCATTACTGAGGTATGAGGAAAATATCTGAACAGTCTGATTGTTGTTGAAGACTGGTAAGATCCAACTCTGACCTCAGCAAAACCAGAGCAAGTGTCCTGTGGCTGGGCAGTGGGCTTTCCGTGGACTTTGGCTGTTTGTTACTACCACCTTGTTTTGTTTAAGAATATCCGCTTCTGTGCTCTGCTTATCGTGCAGTGTAGCTGTCATACAGAAAGGGATGACAGTGCCAAATTCCCCCACCTGCACAACTATTAGTTTTCAACTGAGATAATATGGAACGTATTCGACAAACCATTTGAATGAAACAGAATTACGTACAGCAGAACAGAGATGGTGTGAAACAAAGTGGGAGAGAAAAATGGCTGCTGGCTGGGGTCAATGCTGGAAACGCTGCTCTAGGGTTGGTAGGGTTGGAACCCAGACCTCTGCCTCAGTCCCAGAACGAGCAGTGCGGGGAGACCTGAAGCACAGGGTTGTAGAGACTGGGCGCTGTGAGTCACGGGCAGCGCGGTGGGCGCTTCTGTCCCTTCTGAGAAAGCTGGGGAAGGGCAACCAAGTGAAAGCTCAACTCTGCCAAATTCTGCAAAGTCATCTCACTCACATGATCAAATTCATACCCCTAATTCCTGTCAGATCTGGTACCAAAGGAGAATCTGGAGGGCTGGCTGAACTATTTGAAGCAAGAATTGCCAACGGTGGTGTTCAGAGCCTCAACAAGTCTGAAGGACAGAGGGAAGATGAGCGAGGTATACTTCACCGTCAGCGTGGGCAGGGCGCTTCTTCCAGATTCCTGACGGTTGGAATATGATGAGTATGCAGAATCTTGATTTTAAAAAATGAAAAGTTACAAGATCCAACTCTGATTTCATCCTAAGATTAGCTGAACAGCAACAGCATTTGGTTTTTAAGGCTGGGGCTCTGGGATCAGATTGCTTGGGTTTTTAAACTGTTTGGGATTTTTACATGTGAAGGTGAAGAAGAAAGCTCCTCCGGTAAAAAATAAAATCTGCTTTGGGAAAGATGGCCTTTGGAAACTTCTGGACGATTTTCAGAAGACTCAAGGCAAAGCTATTCAGGTTGGAGTAATTGGTAAGTTTCATTTTATCTGATTTCACCTTGTCCAGATACTCAGCCAAGAATTTTTCCAAGTTAGTAACAGCATTACCATCAGAGTCCTTAATCTGACATTGGCTTGTAGCTCACCTCACCAAAAACACAAACACAATTTAAAGGAAAAATATGTAAATACTTACTGCCACATTCAGTTCGTTGTCAGACTGGGCCCTGTAGTAAACTATTTTCAAAGCTTTTGAATTATTTGAATGAATAGTCTTTGCCTACCCTTTCATCACTTGTGCAAGAAATGAGGAAACTACAATTGGTCTTAGTGTTGAAGTGAAGACACTCAGATCCAACTCTGATCTTGCTGTAAACATTGGGAAGACATAAAATTACCAGTACATAATGCATTTACATCTGTGATTTCCCATTTATTTGTAGGTTTCCCAAATGTGGGGAAAAGTAGCATCATTAACAGCTTAAAACAAGAACAAGTGTGTAATGTTGGTGTATCCATGGGACTAACAAGGTAAATTGAGCTATTCCATATATTACTGTAGATGAATTAAAGTTTTACTTTGGTTATCTTGTGAAAGTTGATTATATATTTTTTCTATGAAACAGTCAGTGAAGAGACTGAGGCCAGTGTTGAGCTTGGGGAAGTATTGATCAGAGTAAGACAGCTGCCTCAAAAAACTGATGCTTGAACCTGGCATTGGGAACTGAATGGGAGTTTGCCAGGTAGAAGAAGCAGTGATAGTTAAGCAGAGTAAACAGCCCATGTAGAAGAGAGAAGTGTAAGCTGTAACCTGGTTGAGGAGTTTAGATAAACGTGAAGCAAATGATGATAAATTGGATCTGAATGACTGTGCGGAGTTTGTTCAATCCAACCCTGAGCTTCATGTTCTGTCTTGTATCCTCCAGAGAAGCTAGTGCCTCCCCCCATCCACTCCGTCTTTCTTCTTTCAGGACCATGCAGGCTGTCCCCTTAGACAAACAGGTGACAATCATAGACAGTCCAAGCCTCATTGTGTCTCCACTGAACTCCTCCACTGCCCTTGCTCTGCGAACTCCAGCAAGTATCGAAGCAGTGAAGCCACTGGAGGCTGCCAGTGCCATCCTGTCCCAGGCCGACAAGCGACAGGTACAAGAACCTCCTTCCATTGAGCCCTTCACCATCATTTTTTCATTCATCAGAAGCATTTTAATGAGAAGACTGTCAAACTTTTTTTTTTTTCCACAACCATACCAAATAGAAGTTCCTGTTGCTTTTTTTAAGGTAGTATTGAAATACACTGTTCCAGACTACAAGACTCCCGTGGAATTTTTCACTCTGCTTGCTCAGAGAAGAGGTCTACACCAGAAGGGTGGGAGTCCAAATGTTGAAGGTGCTGCCAGACTGCTGTGGTCTGAGTGGACAGGGTAAGGCTTCTCCCGGCTGCATTTTGGTGACCGCATGGAGTGAATGAATTCTGACGAATGCTGTTTTTAATACCAGTGCCTCATTTGGGTACCATTGCCAACCCCCTGCATCCTGGACTCCTCCTCCCTATTTTAATGAGAGCACTGTGGCAGACATGAAGAGGGGCTTTGATCTGGAAGAACTGGAAAGGAACAACGCACACAGTATACAAGGTGAGTGAATGTTTCGTTGTTCCCGTCAGCTGACAGATGGCTTGTCTCAGGTGTTTATGTTGGCTTTGTTCCTGTCCCAGCCATCAGGGGCCCTCGCTTAGCCAGTAGCGTCCTTTTCCAGTCTCCATGTATGACAAATGGAATATTAGAGGAAAAAGTATTTGAAGAATCAGCAAAACATAGTGGGAGGAAGCAGGAGAAGATGGAGGACGAAGGCATGGACAGTGACCAAGAAAGTGTTGATGGTAACGTGAATGTAAGTGTGTTCTCTGAGTTACTCAAAGCTGAAGTGAGTTTTCTGGCATTATAATGTATAATGAATGAGAAGGGGCTGAAGGTAGAAATTAAATATTTTGCAATTGACTGGAAGAAGCCCTGTGTACAATTTAGCTGTTTTCCCCATGCCATTAAATAAACCTGCAAGGACTTAACAGGTGTGTAGTTACTTGGATTTATGAGGTGAAAGGGCCATTGACGCAGCAGCACTTCTTTGTGTCCCACAGGAAAAGCCCTCAGACACGTCCCCTCCAGAAGAGATCCGGGAGTCACTGCCTGAGGAGTCCACAGCAGGTGAGTGGGGCAAAGCGGTCTCCAGCACAACAGCGTGGTGCGACAGTGGTTTTACTTTTGCATAAAACTTGTTTATTTTCTTCCAATACAGGTGAACAGTCTGCACGATCGTCTATCTTGGATAAGACTGAGGAGGATGATGCTTATGACTTCAGTACAGATTACGTGTAACAACCTTGTGGTTTTGTTTATAAGGGGTTTTCTGTGTGTATAATATACCAGTAATAGCACTGTAAATTTTGTGAATATGTATCATGATGTAATCATTAAACTGTTTACCCAAATGTCCACCTTCTATGAAGTCTCAACTCACCTAATTCAGTGAGTGGTTACAAAGAGTTACCTGGTCTTTCAAGTGAAAAACAAATTTTATTTACAGATGAGGCCACAGGTTACAAAATTAAAACCAAGCAGCAGTTCGGAACCAGCTGTACCAGCTGGCAAAACTAGTTCTATCAGCTTTATCAGTCCATTCTTCTGGTCAGTCAGCACTGTAGTAAGAAACACTTGGTAAGGCAGAAGGAACCATATTTACAGTCTGTCTGGAACAAGCTGACTGCCAGACAGGCCAATATGTTGCCCAACTGAGCGGTCTCTTACCAGTCGCTACAGATACGCACTGAAGCCTAGCAACTGTTAACTTCCCACACGTACATATGGTCTTCGGGGATTTCCTGAGAGATTCTTATAGTTTAAATTTTTTTTACTTTATGTTTGAGATCTCCATATGTCTTCGGATTAAGCTGAACTTGCCTGTTGGATCTGGAACATACCATTTTTCCCAAACATCAGTGTATGAAGCGGTTCTTCCCCACGGCTTAAAGTGTCCATTCCAGTGGAGTAACTTGGCAGCCTTTATAAACTGGGGTGAATATCGTTTTCCAGCACTGGAACCTTAACAATTGAGAGAAAAAGAACCAGGTGATGGCAACAGTCAGACACAAGACAGTGCCACACCAAATCGTAGAAAACTTTAAAAAACAGGTATACTCCCATCCCTGAGAATAGTTCTCTAGATACCAGCTCCTTATTGGCTCAGGCTGTTGGTTAATTCTGCTTACCAAGGTGACGGACATTCCACATAGGGTCGATAGTGGAGTGCTGTTGATAAAACACGATGAGCAGAGGCGGTGTCGTGATGCTGCCAGCCAATGTTCTGCTGTACAGTCCCTCTCTGGGTGGGACAGATAAACATCAGTGCCGTGCTAACTCCTCCCAGGACTGACAGACAGGAGTTCAGATAAGTGTCTCTTATCTACTTACTCTGCATTGAGTCTCATCCATTTCTCCAGCTGGCTAGTTATGTTTTGTCGCTTCCACTCTGTCATGTTTGCAACAAAAACTCCAGGGTTAAATGAGCAGGTGCTGGCTTTCATGGATAACTTACGAATTCTTTCCTTTTTATAGTCAAGATAGCCAATGTAGTTGTACTGAAAATGCAGATGGGATGAGTATGTTTACTGCTTGACATCCAGTAAGGAAAAAAGCCAGAGTGAGCATCTGGCCCAGTAGTTAACGTGCTGCTAGGATGCACACATTCCATGTTGGGGTGACTGAGTTTGGTTCCTGGCTCCACTCCTGATTCAGCTTCCTACTGATGCACACCCTGGGAGGCAGAAGCCACCCATGTGGGAGACCTGGATGGAATTCCTGGCTCCTGCATCGAACCCTAGACACTGGAGCATCTGGGAATTGAACCAACAGATTGACAATATCTCTGCCTTTCATTTATTTATTTTAATTTTTGACAGGCAGAGTGGACAGTGAGAGAGAGAGACAGAGAGAAAGGTCTTCCTTTGCCGTTGGTTGACCCTCCAATGGCCGCCGCAGCCGGCGCACCGCACTGATCCGATGGCAGGAGCCAGGTGCTTCTCCTGGTCTCCCATGGGGTGCAGGGCCCAAGCACTTGGGCCATCCTCCACTGCACTCCCAGGCCACAGCAGAGAGCTGGCCTGGAAGAGGGACAACTGGGACAGAATCCGGCGCCCCGACCAGGACTAGAACCCGGTGTGCCGGCGCCGCAAGGCGGAGGATTAGCCTATTGAGCCACGGCGCCCGGCCTCTGCCTTTCAAATAAATTACAAACTTAAAAACAAAGCTGCCTGTTAAACTATGGCTTCTCAGACCACTGTCAAATAAAAGAGGTAGGTGATCCAGAGAAAACACCTGGATTTGGAGATAGGAGACCAGATGTTTGAGAATTAGGTTACCAAGTTCACAAATATCTACAGGAAAGCAGACATGAGTTTTGGGATGGAATAACTGGTGAATGTAAGGTGCAACAATAAAAAGTTTGTGGGGACCAGTGCCAAAGCGCCGGCATCCCATATGGACGGCTACTCCACTTCCGGTCCAGCTCTCTGCTGTGGCCTGGCAAAGCAGCAGAAAGTGGCCCAAATCTTTGGGCCCCTGCACCCAAGTGGGAGACCTGAAGGAAGGTCCTGGCTCCTGGCCTCAGATCGGCACAGCTCCGGCTGTTGGGGCCAATTGGGGACTGAACCATCAGATGGAAGACTAACTCTAGCTTTCAAATAAATAAATCTTTAAAAATAAAAGTTTCTGTGGATTTGCCACTTCCCATTGAACTGTATTGTAGGGTGTCTCCTAAGTGATGTACCTGATTCCCTGCTCCACGGATGACAACTTTAGCAGACGTTGAATCACAGTCTTCTGAAAATGCAGCTGCATGCCCTGGCTTCAGTGGTGTATTGTAAAGGGCAAGAATATCACCTGAGATACACAAGTATTAAAAATTACCATTTCCATAAGACTAAGACAACCACTACAGCCCACAATCTGGGCAGAGAATAGCATGCATAGTAATAATATTCTTTGGTACCTTGCACAATTACATCATCATCCATATAAATGGCCTTCTTTGCACTGGGAACCAGAATTGGCAAGTAGAACCTTGCAAAGGTTAACTGGAAAAGGAAAGAAGCACCAGCATAGAATATGGCAATGGCTGTGCTCTTATTTACACAGAAACTCGTAGAATGCCCTCAGTGCCCTTGAAAAAGGTAGCTAGTGCTTGCTTTGGCAGCACATACACTAAAATTGGAAAAAGGCAGCCAAAGGACTTCTAAAATATCCCAGGCTTGGTCCCCAGGAGACGATTTGCATTGTACCCACAGTTACCTAGGCATTCCTTATATTTCCTAATACTCCCAAGTACAAACTAGGATCCCTGGGACTCACGGGTTTCATGGATTCCCCCTGGCCAGGATCCTCCTTTACTTTCCCTTCCAAGAGTGCAGTGTCGAAATTCACAATTTTGTACCTGATGTTTTTCAAGGAACCACTGTTGAGCCAGGACCTGATGAAGAAAAAGTACCATACAGTTTTACATAATCATGCCTCCAGGCCATAACCATATCTTTGTGCCTTCCTAATGAGGGCATAAAGTAATACAACAGAAGCCCTGGGGATCAAATCATCTTCAAGCTCTTCTCAGTCAGGGTTCCTTCCTGAACAAGATTCTATGCTAATGCTCTTCCAACACTACAACTAGAAAAAATGAGAACATTCATCTCCACATGGGCCACTCGATTCACCCTCCAAATACACTGGTGAAGAAAATGAGTCAAAGTACAGTAGTAAAGGCTAATCTGTTATCTGCAGATTGCTCTGATCCATCCACCTAAGTTTGTAGACACCCAATGTCTAATTCAATGTGTGTCTTTCTATTCTGGACAGGTTCTGAGTTTCAGAATCATTAGAAAATCATAGTAACTTCTATAAATATGAACCATGGAGAAAGCCATAAGAACAGAATGTTTTAAAACTTTCACAACTGGTAATCTGTTAGACAAGCTGTTTTTCTTAGAATAAACTAGAATAAACTTTAAGTCTTAATTCATTACCAAAACATAGATGAAGTATCCATCAGATCTATTCATCACAATTAAAACAAGACCATTACTGCGTGATTATTTTGATAGGTGTTTTATGTATTTTTTTATTTATTTGACACAATAACTCTAAGTTAGATACTTTCACCCTGCATCCATGTGGAAGACCTGTAAGAAGTTTCTGGCTCTTGGCTTCGGATCAGCTCAACTCCAGCCATTGCAGCCATTTGGGCAGTGAACCAGTGGATGGAAGACCTCTCTGTGTCTCTCTCCCCTCTCTGTAACTCTTTCAAATAAATAAATCTTTTTAAAAAAAAGTTCATGGTGAAGTAAAATTAAAAGTTACTGTGCCGGGGCTGGTGCTATGGCATAGCAGGTAAAGCTGCAACCTGTAGTTCGAGTCCTTGCTGCTCCACTTCCAATCCAGCTCTCTGCTATGGCCTGGGAAAGAAATGGAAGATAGCCCAAGTCCCTGGGCCCCTGCACTCCCATGGGAAATACAGAAGAAGCTCCTGGCTCCTGGCTTTGGATTGGCACAGCTCCACTGCGGCCAACTGGGGACTGAACCAGTGAATGGAAGATCTCTCTCTCTGCTTCATCTTTGTGTAACTTTCAAATAAATAAAATCTTAAAAAAGAAAAAAAGATACTGTGCCATTTTCCATGAGCATTTTTTTGAGTGGCAAAGAACCAGCTCTCCGGTTGACTTGTCTTGCAATGGCTGGAGAAGTCGGGCGGTCCTTCCAGGTCTCTCACATGAGTGGCATGGCCAACCACTTAAGCTATCACTGCTGCCTCCCAGGGTCTGCACTGGCAGGAAGCTGGACTCAGAAACTGAAGCCAGGAATCAAACCCAGGCACTCCAATATGGGGATGTGTGCATCCTACCTAGCTTCTTAACTGCCAGGCCACACACCCACCTCTCCATGAACTTTTTGGAGACCCCCACTTCCAGGTGTGTGCATGTATTTATATGGCACTATACACACACATTTACATGTATAAAAATAGTTCCTGGACTAGTAGCTGGCCTGCTTAAAACCGTACCCTGGAAGCAAAATCAGAGGCAAATAGAGCTCACCGAAGATGATCTGCTGTGTTATTGAGCGTAACAATGTAGAAAATCACATTGGAGCGAGTGTTCTGCTGAATGCTATTTATGGCTGCAATGGCCCCTCCAAGCCTGTCTTCAGATGCAGCAATGACCACGGGAATCTCTTCTCTCTCGTCTCCATCACTTCGGGGAGCATTTGGAACAAAGTCTATGGGTTGAAGTCCCAGAATCCCTGAATCTGAAAAGTATACACACAAAGAAGGCACTGAAAAACAAACACAATCTCATGAGCCTTTTAATTACTTTTTAAAAAAATGATTGGAAGGGCTGGCAATGTGGCACAGTAGGTTAAACTACAGCTGGCAATGCCAGCATCCTAGGGACCTGGATTGGAAGTGGAGCAGCTGAGACTTGAACATGTGCCCATATGGGATGCCTGCACTGCAGGCTTTGGCTTAACCTGCTGTCCCTCAGCGCCGGCCCAGGTAACAGAACCTTTCTAGAATGTATGTACCAGCCCAGGTAACATAAACTTTGCAGAATGTATTGTGATAATTTGTATCAAAAGCCTTAAATAGGTATGTGGCCTTTGACAATCATTCTCCTTGGTGCTTCTCCTAAGGACACAACCTAAAAAGCAATCAAAATCACAAGCTCTATCTGTGAAAACCTAGAAACTGGGAAAAACCTAGAAATAAATCAGAATTTGAATACAAAAAGTTTCTGGATTGGAACACAAATTTGAATTACAAAAAATGCATTGTACACAATACCTGCTAGTATTGCTCAGTAAACCTTCCCTTAAAAATGTCTATTTTTATTTTCATCTACTTGACAGAGTGATAGAAAGGAGAGATCTTCCATCCACTGGTTCACTGCCCAAATGCCTGGATGGGCCAGGCCAAAGATGAGAGCCCAGAACTCCATCTGGGTCTTCCACATGGATGGCAGGAGCCCAAGTACTTGAGCCATCTTCTGCTGCCTCCCAAAATGCATTAGCAAGATGCTGCATTGGAAGCCGAGGACTCAGGACTTGAACCAGCACTCCTGTGTGCGATGTGGGCATCTAAGCAGCAGCTTTACATGCTGTGCCACAACATCTGCCCCATGAACCTTTTCCGCCTCTTCTAATACGGTGGGCCCGTCTGTGTCCGGGTTCTGCATATGAATACCCTGAGTGTGCTCAGTTCCAGCGCTGGCTGTTGCAGGTGTTTGGGAAATGAACCAGCAGATGAAAGATATCTCTCTCTTTCTCTCTGCTTTTCAAAAAACTAAAATGAGTACTTTTAAAAAAATGAGCACATAGAACCTTGTTTCCCTTTTCATTATTCCCCAAACAATAGAGTACAGCGACTATTTACACAGAATTTACATTCTATCAAGTAGCCTAGAGTGATGTAAACAGGATATGCGTCTGTTATATGCAAAATTACATAAGTGCCCGGTTGCCCCTCTTCCAGGCCAGCTCTCTGCTGTGACCCGGGAGTGCAGTGGAGGATGGCCCAAGTCCTTGGGCCCTGCACCCCATGGGAGACCAGGAGAAGCACTTGGCTCCTGCCTTTGGATCAGCGCAATGCGCCGGCCGCAGCGCGCCAGCCGTGGCGGCCATTGGAGGGTGAACCAACGGCAAAAATTACATAAGTGGCTTGAGCATGTGCAGATTTTAGTACCCATGGGAGACCCTGGCACCAATCCCCCTGCAAACCTAGTGCTGACTGCTCATACATTTATTCATTCAACACTGAGTGCCTACTATGTGGGCACTGGAGTTACAGCCACGAGTAAAACAGTCAAATCTCCACCATCATGGAGGCTAAGACAGTAAACTAGTAAACATATATATGTATGTGCCACACGTAATGCATTTCTTATTGTGGGATCACCATCAAAGTCTGAGAGCCACTGTACCAAAAGATGTTTTCCTGTGAAAACAAGTGACTCTGTGTATTAAAAGTTTACATCAAGGGGGCCGGGACTATTCTGCGGTGGAGTAAGCTGCCACTGGTGGTGCCAGAATCGCACACCGGAATGCCAGGTTGAGTCCTGGCCACTCTGCTTCTGATCCAGCTTCCTGCAGATGTACCAGGGAAGGCAACAAATGACGGTCCAAATATTGGGACCCCTGCTCCTAGCTGCGGCCTGGTCCAACCCTGGGCATTTCAGTTATTTGGGTACTGAATCAGCAAATGGAAGATCTCTCTCGCTGTCTCTCCCTCCCTCTGTCTCTCTGCCTTTCAAATCAATCAATATTTAAAAAAAGTTTACATGAAGGATTTCCACTACCATAGGAGCATGCTTAATCACATGGAGAAGCATGTCACATTACAGTTGTATATACAGTGTAACTGCAACTAAATAAAAATATTAAGAAAGAAGATGGGAAGGCACTAAAGCAAACTTATTTAATAACCATTATGTCTAAACAATGAAAACATTCATTTAACTAATACTTATTGAACATCTATGTATCAGCCATCAGCCACAGGCATGGGAGACAAAACAGTGAATAAACTGTCCTCCTGAAGTCTCAATACTATTTTCATTTTTATAAGATTTCTCAGCAGCATGTATTACTTTATAAACATTATATATATATATGTACACACACACACACATACACACACACACATGCATGTTGTTAATAACATGCTACCACAGAATTCAATTAAACGGAAAAGCTAATTAGTCTTTCCCTGTTTTGGTCAACTACAGTAGGTAACAATCCAAAAATGATTTTTAAAAAGATTTATTGATTTGAAAGGCAGAGCTATAGAGAGGGAGAGAGCTCCCATCTCCTGGTTCATTCCCTAAATGGCCACAATGGCCAGGGTTGAACCAGGCCACAGCCAAGAACCAGGACCTCCACCTGGTCTTCCACGTATTTGGGCCATCTTCTACTGCCTTCTAAGGCACATTAACGGGCAATTGGACAGGAAGCAAAGCAGTGAGGACTGGAACAGGCACTCCCATCTGGTATGGGATGCAGGTGTTGCAAACAGCACCTTAACCCATGGTGCCACAGAGCCTACCCCAATCCAAAATGATTTTTGACAAACACCCTGAAGCTTCAAACATCCCTTAAAACTAGACAGAGCACTTTTTTTTTCTTCTTTTTTTAAATTTTTTTTTTTAATTTTTTGACAGGCAGAGTGGACAGTGAGAGAGAGAGACAGAAAGGTCTTCCTTTTGCCGTTGGTTCACCCTCCAATGGCCGCCGTGGCCAGCACGCTGCGGCCAGCGCACTGCGCTGATCCGATGGCAGGAGCCAGGTGTTTCTCCTGGTCTCCCATGGGGTGCAGGGCCCAAGCGCTTGGGCCATCCTCCACTGCACTCCCGGGCCACAGCAGAGAGCTGGCCTAGAAGAGGGGCAACCAGGACAGAATCCGGTGCCCCGACCGGGACTAGAACCTGGTGTGCTGGCGCCGCAAGGCGGATTAGCCTAGTGAGCCACGGCGCTGGCCTAGACAGAGCACTTTTAAACAACTAACTTAAGATAAAATGTGCAATGTGATTATGCAGTAAAGCAAATTTTTTAATCAGCTGACAAGCCTTTACGATTTTGTTTTACTACTACAGTGGCACTGATAAGTTGCACAGTTAAAATAACCAGGCTGAACAGGCATCAAGCACCAGGGACGCTGTCTGGTCCCAGCTTCGGAAGCCCTGCCTTGATGAATGCGAGCAGATGGTGCCCACAGAGGCTCCAAGACCTGAGCTGGTGATAAGGAACGCGCTGTCAGATCAAACCCTAGCAGCTGACTGCCACACAGGGAGAAGAAAAGCAGGAGGCCTGCAGGGGCACAGTGAGTACCACCGGCCTCCTCCCAGAGCCTTGCAGCTTTTCAAAGGCTAAGACAACAAGCAAGCTTTCTATTCCTTCAACACTGTCATGTGACTTAGGACAAGGGAACTCAACTCACTCCAAGGCACCAGTAAGGATTCCCATACCTGAAACCTCATTCCTTAGCAAACTGTTCAGGCTGAGGAAGTTATGGTGCAGCACCAGTAAGAAGAGGACAATAGCCAGGACCAAGATGACGATGTTGACTGAAACAGATGGGGAAATCTGCATTACATCTCTTTGCCTTTGACCTCGCAGGACAACAACGTGACTCATAGAGACAGCATACCTTTACGGATTGTCATCTTTTTCCTCTTACATAAATATTTGTTATCAACCCTACAAAACAAAAACAAGCCCCAGAGTCAGTCAATGTATGAGAACAGCCATTAAAATGCCTAAACACGTAGAAACAAGAGGTATATGGGCTATTCCGCCAGAAACCCATTTTGAATTAGCAGTTTTCAAGAACCCAATTTGGGACTGAAAAGTTGTATAGTCATACTGAAATACTTCCAATTAACTAGGGAGAAATACATAGCCTTAGGCTTCTATATTATATGCCACTAAATGAAAAGCAAAATAAATAAATAAATAAATAAATGCACCAAGAGGCACGTGTGGAGTACCACTACACAGAAACACTTCAGAATGATTTTCTGCTTTAACTTCCTAAATTAGACGTGGACTCAACTGCCTATGACAAAGCAACCTGAGATCTTAGCTTCATCCGTGGCACAAAATTCCCTGCCTGGAGTTATATCACCTTTAACCTGAGCATCCTCAGAATAAATAGCACTTGCAAATTCACCCGACAAAACAACGAAATAATACACAAAATCCCATCTTATTACCAAAAGTGCTATTCTCTTGAGGCCAGCACTGTGGCATAGTGGATTAAGACACCGCCTGCAGTGCCAGAATCCCATATGGACGCCAGTTCAAGTCCCAGCGGGTCCACTTCTGATCCAGCTCTCCGCTATGGCCTCAGAAAGCAGTATTAGATGGCCCAAGTGCTCAGGCCCCTGCAACCACATGAGAGATCTGGAAGAAACTCCTGGCTCCTGGTTTCAGATGGGGCACAGCTCCAGCCATTGCAGCCAACTGGGGATTGAACCAATGGATGGAAGACCTCTCTCTTTCTCTGCCTCTCCTTCTCTCCCTGTGTAACTCTTTCAAATAAATAAATAAATCTTTTTTTAAAAAAGTGCTATTCTCAAAATTTAAAATCAGCTAAAAAAAGAGCTTCTTCCCAAGGCTTCATCTCTGATGGTTAATTATACATTTCCTAAGAAAGAGGCGTCTAATACTTTCACTCTGGTCTCATCTGACACCTTCACTTTTTTTTTTTTTAATTTATATTTATTTGAGAAGTAGAGTTACAGTTATTTGAGAGGGAGAGACAGAGAGAGAGAGTTCTTCCATCCACTGGGTCACTCCCCAAATGGCTACAATGTCCGGAGCTGGACACATCCGAAGCCAGGAGCCAGGAGCTTCTTCCGGGTCTTCCACGTGGGTGCAGGGGCCCAAGGAGTTGGGCCATCTTCTACTCCTTTCCCAGGCCATAGCAGAGAGCTGGATTGGAAGGAGCATCTGGGACTCGAACCAGCACCCATATGGGATTAACCTACTGTGCCAGTCCATCTTTGCTTTTCAAAACAAATAATTCATTAGAAAAAAGAATGGAGGTGAAGGTAGTTACTAAACAATAATATTTCTAAAACAATCTCTGGGTAATATTTTCTTAAAGATAGATTACACAACCAAAACATTGTGACTTCACATCTGAGACTGTTAAACCTTTTTTACTTTATCTCCATCCATGGTAGTACTTAATATTTACAAAAACAACAAAAAAATTTACATAAGGCTTTTAATATCACAAAGCACTTCCATTCTTAAAGATAGATCAATCTATCTATCTATCTATATTTATTTACTTGAAAGGCAAAGTTAGAGAGAGAGAGCTATCTTCCATCCGCTGATTCATTCCCCAAATGGCCACAATAGCTGGGACTGGGCCAGATGAAGCTAGGACACTGGCACTCCATCTGGATCTCCTGTGAGTGGTCGGGACCCAAACACTTGGGCCATCTTCTGTTGCTTTCCCAGGCATGTTAGCAGGGAGCTAGACGGGAAATGGAACAGCTAGCAGGGAGCTAGATGGGAAATGAGACAAGGACCAGCGCTCATATGGGATGCCAGCAATGCAGGCGGTCGCTTAACCTCGGCTAAATGGGGTGCCTACCAGGCACTTGATTTCTCAAGGTTTTTGAAAGAGAATATATTGAGCTGTTTATAAAATAAGCAGTCAGAGGCCAGATTACAAATTTTGGGGAAATAATTTATACTCCCAAAGAACAATCCAGGACACACACACATTTTTTCTCAAAGCACTATGTACCAATGAACTTCTTCTCTAGAGAATCCACATCCTATTTACCCTGAGCCATACACCTCTATCACATGGCAGGCAGAGTGCTACCTATAGAAGCTGCCAGACTGGGAACTGCTCAAAGTGTAACATCTGTCTGCTCTAAGCCACCTTCCAAGACGAAAGAAATAATCTCAACAGAAAAAAATCCCAGGTAGTAAATGAGGGACAACACTAGCTCATCAACTTCCAGTAATAGTTACTTAAAAATACTAAGACCAGGGCCAGGCGCTGTGGCTTAGCAGGTAATGCCACTGCCTGAAGTGCTGGCATCTCATATGGCCGCCAGTTCAAGTCCCAGCTGCTCCACTTCCAATCCAGCTCTCTGCTCTGGCCTGGAAAAGCAGTGGAAGATGGCCAAGTCCTTAGGCCCCTGCACCGGCATGGGAGACTCAGAAGAAGCTCCTGGCTTCAGATCGGCCCAGCTCCAGCCGTTGTAGCCATCTAGGGAATGAGCTGGCGGATGGAAGATCTCTCTCTCTCTCTCTCTGCCTCTGCTTCTCTTTAAGTCTGCCTTTCAAATAAATAAATAAATCTTAAAAAAAAAAAAGAAAGAAAAAAGTAGTAAGACCAAACAAACACTCTCACTAGAAAAAAATCCCAGCTGGTTAATGAGAGACAATGTTTTAGCTCATCAACTTCCAGTCCACTTACTTAAAAGTAGTATGCGGGACCGGTGTCATGGCATGAGGTGGGTGAAGCCACCAGCTGTGAAGTACAAGCATCCCATATGAGGGATGGTTTGATTCCCGGCTGCTCCACTTCCAATCCAGCTCCCCACTAATGCACCTGGGAAAGCACCAGAAGATGGCCCAAGTGCTTGAGACCCTACACCCCCACAGGAGACTCGGATGAATCTGGCTCCTGGCTCTGGCCTGGCACAGCCCTAGCGGTTGTGGTCATTTGGGGAGTGAACCAGAGGATGGAAGATCTCTCTCTCTCTCTCCCTCTCCCTCTCCCTCTCCCTTTCTCTCTCTCTCTCTGTAACTCCACCTTTCAAATAAACAAATCTTTTTAAGAAAAAGTAGCACGTGAATGGAGCTGCAAATGTGTTTGTGTTACCCAACCTAGCTGGACACAAGAAAAACACATTTCTAGCAAGCGTGTGATGTGCTTGAGTAAACCAGCATGGCAGAAACCACTTGTTCCAAAAGGCTTTCCCAGCTGCCTACATGCAAAATGCCATGAGGGCGGGGCATGTTGGATCCACATTTCCTTTCCTGGTGCCATTCCTGCCAATGGAACTTCCCTGATCTGTATAAAGGGGATTCTCCAAACCAAACTGCCCTGTAAGGCACTTAGTGTAGTAGCTATCCCTCTCCAGGATTACAAAGCTGCATACAACTTGTCTGGCGATTTTCAATTTATTCACTATGAAAGTTAATATTTTTTGTTTAGCGATTAGAAACCTTTATATTCCCTGAACACTCTATCACTCACAAACACACACACACACACACACACACACACACACACAGAGGCCTGGGGCAAGTATACCTAGAAACACTAAAGAAACCTCAGGGAAAAGAGAACCCTCCCCCCCCCTTTTTTTTTTCAAATTGCTAGCTCCGTGCATTTTAAACCCACATTCTCAGCAGCGTGCCCGTGGAGCAAGCGCCTCCACGAAAGGCCATGCAGGAGTGTCCTGGTGCTAGCCCATTGTCCATTCTCCATATTTCCCGGCTGTACCATCTTCAGCCTCTTCCGTCCTCTGCTGGGTCACACCCTCCAGCACACCACCGTGCTCCGGTACCTTCCCGTTCATTGTTGAAAAGCCAAAAAGACGCTCCTCTCACCTGGGTCAACCCACCCGCAAACACGCAGCTCTGCCCCCGTCACTCTAACAGCTGGAGAGGACAGCGGTTAGCTTCACCTCCTCCTCCAGTCTCTTGTTCCTCTACTCAAAGGGCTCCTGCGGAGGTCCCCAAAGACCTTGTCTATCAAGGTACTTCACTACTCCCCTTCCTCAGTTATGAAATCACCGTATTTACTTACGACCAACACGTAAGCTCCATGGAAACAGGGACCCTAAGGAAAATGTCTACTGACATATCCCTGAATCCCACCTAAAACTACGTCTGGCGAATGGGAAGGGAATGCAATCTCTGGAAATAATTACGAAAACAAATTCAGACATACGGAAAAACGTGGATTCCAATGAAGCTCTCTCCCAAATGAACCTAACAGGCAATTTCGTTTTCCCTTAGCTTCTTAGTTCAAATACCATAAAATCCTACAGCAACTCGTGTCCTATGCAGTGCATCTGAAGACACAGAGGAATGCGACTGTTAATACCCACAACAAACGCCTGCCCAAACACACCAAAGAGACACCCAACGCGGGAAGCGGCCGGGATAAACTTCTTCCCCACCCCTGCATCTGCCCTCTGCAGACCGGGGCTCCTCCTGAGGTCTGTCGAAGCCGTCTGCATCTTAGTTTGTCTCTGCCACGAAGAAGGGCGCAAAGACACAAGGGTGGGGAGCACCCTCCCCGCGCCCCCAGGCCGGCCGGCTAGCTCCTACCTCCCCCACCCACCCCGAGGCTGCACCGCCCCCTGAGCGCCTCCCTACCGCACGGCTATTCCAGCCGTCCTACACTTGTGGGGTGATGTGGCTGTCTCCCTTGACACTCTCGGAGCTTCGGGGCCTAGTCTTGGCCACGGCCTGGCACAAACAAGGTGCACGAATGCGAGCAGCAGCCATACCCCCCGCCCTGACGCCCGACGTGCCTAGAATCCCACTGTGTGGGGACAATGCTGCAGACCCACCACGGAGGGCTTCGGTCCCGAACGTGCGGACCCCACCTAGCTCACGATCAGGAGAGGGTCAAACCTTCTCACACATCCACCAGCCTCGAACGAGGGGGCTGAGGGAACCCTTGCCTTGGTCTCTAGCGGGAAGGCCCTAGGTTGCCAGTGAAGCCGGCACTGCTGTATATTGGGAGGATGGGAGCGCTCTCCACGCAGGTGAGGGGACCAGGGTCTCCAATCTAAGGGGATTCTTCTTCTGTAAGGGAAAGGGTATGGGTACTGACTTCTAAATTCTAAGGCTCAGTAGGGTCGCCTGAGGCTTAGAAATGATCAAGGTGGCGCGACGCTCCGAGGACGCCGCCAGGCCCCGATACACCCCGGGCTAGGGATCCGACGCGCAGTTCCCCTCAGCAGCCCGCCGCGACTCGCCTTACCTGCAGCGGGTGAAGAAGCAGGAGGAGGAGGAGGAGGAGGCGGCGCCACCGCCGCCCGCGCTCCGGCCCGCCCCGCCAGCTCAGCGCCCGCGCCGCAGGCCCCGGAGCCTGGCCCGCCGCCGGGCCGCCCGCGTCCCCCGCACTCCGGCCGGAGGCCGCCCTCCCGCTGGCTCCGCGACTGCCGCGGAGCCCCACAACGCCCCAGCCCGCCCGCCGTTCCGGGCGCAAAAGCTTTGCGCGGAGCAGGCGCCGCGGGGCAGCCCCGCCGCCGGGGTCCTCGCTGAGAAGGCTGTCGCCATGGAGACGGGGCCCGCGCCGGCGGCCGTTGTGCCACGGAGGCGCTGTCCGGGACAGTTTGCCTGACCGGGGCCGGGGCTCCCGGTACCTAACAGCCCTGACGGCGAACCCTTCTCGGGCTCGCGATGCCTCGACCCGGCCTCCGCCTCAGTCCTGGCGGGGGCTGCGCCGCGGCACAGCCAACTTTGAGAACACACGTCGCCTAGCGATGGCGCGGGGCGGGGCCACGGGCTGTGCCGGCCCGTCGGAGACATCCGCTTCCGGGGCCGCGGCCATCGCGCTCCCCGGCTTGGTAGGCGCTGCGGGCTATGCGCGGCGTCCTGCTCTGGTCCCTGAGTGTTGGCTGCCCTCGCTCTGCCGTCCGCCTTCTGGAGCAGTCATGCTGGAACATCTGAGCTCGCTGCCCACGCAGATGGTGAGAGCGCGGCCGGGGCTGCCCGCTCTCGAGCCTGGCCGTTTGGAAACCCTTGACAGGCTGCGACCCGGGCTGCGCGGCTCCTGGCCCGGATGGTTACTGTCCACCCTCTCCCCCGACTTGGGCCGCCTGGGTTCCCCCTCTCTCCCCGCGCGAGAATCTCCGCCCGTGCTCCGTTTAGGATGCTTGGTCTCTTTCCCGCCCACCCCGGAATCCCAGAGTTTAATTCCTTGCCAGGCCTTATGGGGGGTGGGGGAGCCCTGGTACTGTGTCGCTTGCACCAAAGCTGTGGGGCGAGGGCGGGAACTGTCCCTCCTCCGCCGTGGGACCCATTCCATGTGTGCTCTCCACCGCCTAGGATTACAAGGGCCAGAAGCTGGCTGAACAGATGTTTCAAGGAATTATTCTGTTTTCTGCAGTAAGTACTGGTTCTGCATTTAATCTTTATTTCTTTGCCCCTAGCTCGACTGCATTTTTTTTCTTTAATCATCCACTCCCAACCTTGACTGTGTTTTAATGTACTTTGGCTCTAGATAGTTGGATTTATCTACGGGTACGTGGCTGAACAGTTCGGGTGGACTGTGTACATAGTAATGGCTGGATTTGCTTTTTCGTGTTTGGTAAGAAATTTGTGGTTTTCTGAGTTGGGTTGGTTTGGTTGGACCTAGTACTAAGAGCCAGTCGTCATCGTTTCTCCAAAAAGCAGAACGCCAAGAGCATCAGGAGGCGTGAAGTGCAGGAGAGGCCACAGCTGTCCTGTGACAGCTACTCCAAGCCTGGGCCAGCGCTAGCAAGGACTTCCGGGTGTGCACTTCACCCCTCACCTTGCTGGATGTGTAAACACTGAGGCCAGTCCCTGTCGTACTCTATCTTTCCTGGGCAGTAACACAGAGCGTCTGTGGGAATATAAAGCATTTGTTTCTTGCTATTATATTTATAAATATAATTTATAATCTGTTAGCATGGGAGTTATTTAGGAACCAGGTTTTATACATGACTCATGGCGTTGTAACAGATTCTCTCTCTTCTGGCCCAGCTGACACTTCCTCCATGGCCAATCTATCGCCGGCATCCCCTCAAGTGGTTACCTGTTCAAGATTCATGCACAGAAGACAAGAAGCCAGGAGATAGAAAAATTAAGAGGCATGCTAAAAATAACTGACTGGGTTTTCGTGATTCAGCACCTGCTTTTATTTCCTGAGATGAGCTATACTGCTTTTCATACCCAAAACATGAGCCAAAACCATCTAAGCTCTCACAGCACCACCGTGTCTAGACTTAATTCTCTTTACATTTCTAACCCAGTTGAAGTTTGATTTATAAATATTTTAGACCTTTTCATAATCTTGCTGTGAAGTAAAAAACAAAACCCAAGTATGGAAAAAGTTTCAGGTGTACATAATAATAAATGCCTCATGATAGTACATTTTGTCAGTTTTATAATTCATTGAGTCATTAAGTCATTTTAATGTTTCCAGTTAAAACTTACAGTGCAAGTCGGTGTCTGACAGGTCTGCTGTCGGTTGTTCTACAAGCAGGACCTCATGAAAGCTGGTCAGAAGTTCATGGCTTTGGGGCTGGCACTGCGCGGTGGGTTACACCACTGCATCCTGTGTGGGTGCTGATTCGAGTCACAGCTGCTACACTTACCATGCAGCTTCCTGCTAATGTGCCTGGGAAAGTGGTGGAAGATGGCTCAAGTCCTGGGCCCCTGCCATCCACAAGGGAGACCTGGAGGACACTCCTAGCTTCAGCCTGGCCCAGCCGCAGTCATTGTGGCCATTTGAGGAGTGAACCAGCAGATAGATGTCCCTCTCACCTCTCTCTCTTTGCCTTTCAAATAAATAAATATTAAAGAAAACAAAAGTTCATGATTCTACAGCTGCAAGTTTCTATAATAATCTTATTTTTATTTATTTATTTTTTTTTGAGTGGACAGTGAGAGAGAGAGACAGAGAGAAAGGTCTTCCTTTACCATTGGCCACCCCCAATGGCCGCTGCAGTCGGCACACTGCGCCAATCCAAAGCCGGGAGCCAGGCACCTCTCCCGGTCTCCCACGCGGGTGCAGGACCCAAGCACTTGGGCCATTCTCCACTGCACTCCCAGGCCACAGCAGAGAGCTGGACCGGAAGAGGGGCAACCAGGACAGAATCCGGCGCCCCGACTGGGACCAGAACCCGGTGTGCCGGCACCGCAAGGCGGAGGACCAGCCCACCGAGTCGCGGCGCTGGCCTATAATATTCTTAATGGAAAGAACCTATGAAAAATTTTACTTAATGTGGATTTGTGGTAAAGTATTATTTTAGTACCAGTGAAATAAGGACTGTTGTTATTAAGCAGAAAACATTTAATCTGCTTGAGGTCAATCCTAGTGAAAGCCCAGAAAGCCATAAATTCCTTTTGTTTCAGAAACCTGAAGAGAAAAATGAGCTCCAAGGTGCTGTTACCTGGTGGGAAAGGGAGAATTACTATAGGTAATGCTATATATCTCAATACCATCACATGAGATTTCCAGATTGGAGTTTAAGGAAAAACAACCTTAACAGAAAAACTCAGGAAAGTTTTTTTTTTTTTTTTTAATTTGTTCACTTATTTGAAAGAGAGACCTTAACATCTGCTGGTTCACTCCCCAAATGGCCAGAGCTGTACCAATCCAAAGCTAGGAGCTTCTTCTGGGTCTCCCATGTGGGTGCAGGGGCCCAAGCACCTGGGCGATCCTTTGCTGCTTTCCCAAGCACATTAGCAGAGAGCTGGATTGGAAGTGGAGCAGCCAGGACTCGAACCAGCATCCATATGGGATGCCAAGAACTGGCCCAACTCAGGAAAGATTTTAAAAAGAAGGTTGGAAAAAAGGCAGAAATAAGGCCAAGCATATCAGAAAGTATAATAAATGTGATTGTTAGTTATGTGTTGGGTTGAAAACTGAGTTACCTCATGTTCTGAAAGTGACATCAGAAGACTGAAGACAGGAGAAAGGCTTTATTAATAAGCAGATAGAAGCAAAAAGAGTAACAGTGAAAAAGTGGAATGTTTCATGTCAGGAAGCATTAGATAGGGCAGAGGCATTTCGTAGCCACTAGGATGCCACTGTTGGGATTCCTATGCACTGACTAAGTACAGTATAAAGCAGACTGTTCAGTCTACAAGAACTGAGCACAGGGGCCGGTGGTATGGTGCAGCAGGTTAAGTCGGTTGCCTGTGATACCAGCATCCCATATGAGAGCCAGTTTGAGTCTTGGCTGCTCCATTTCCAATCCAGTTTCCTGTTAATGCACCTGGAAAAGCAACAGAAGATAGCCCCTGCCACCTATATGGGAGACCTTGTTAGAATTCCTGTTAGAATTCCTGACTCCTGACTTTGGCCTATCCTTGGCCTTTGCCACTGTTGGGGGAGTGAAACAGGTTTCTCCCCCTGCCCTCTGTGTAAGTTTGCTTTTCAAAAATAAATAAATAAATAAATCTTTAAGTAGTACTACACCTTTCAGAATCTGGCAGATCAAATAAGCAATAGAGAGGAAAACTGTTGAGCTCGTTCCTTGTGCTGGAAACATCTTCCGTCAGCCGGGACTTGCTCCCTCCTTTCATTCAGGCTTCTACCCACTTGTCACTACAGAGGAGTGCTGCGCCCCATCGTTCTGCATCTACTTAGCCTGCTGTTTTTCATGGCAGTGAATACACCTAACAGGTGTTTCTCACTGGAACATGAGCTCCATGGGAACAGGGCCCTTGTTTAACTCACTGCTGTGTATCCTGTACCTGTAAGAGTAACTGGCACATTATAACTGCTGAATATTTATTTAATGAACAATAGGAGACTGGGCTATCCAATATGGTGCCAATAATCAAATGTGTGTATTTAAAAATTAAGTTCTTAAGTCAGACTAGCTGTGATTCAAAGGCTAGTCATATATGACTAGTGACTACCATTCTGGACACTTCAAATAACATTTCCATCACAAAACTCTGTTTATCACATCTTACATGTAAACTCTGAAGAACATTTAATAGAGAAGTGATTTTCCATACACAGAATTCAGATTTACTGAATGCTCATGATGCCACTGCAATTGTGACTCGTGTACTAGCAACAGGGGAAGAGTACTCCCAAGAAGAGGTTGTGCAGGTCACACAGCAGCAACCTGCAGTGCAGCTGTAACAAGGAACTTTCTAAGCCCATGACAGTCCAGAAGCATTCCTTTAAAAAATCAGAATTACTGACATTAGAAAAAAATGAATGTTAAAGACTGTCATACAAAGTCAGTGAAACAGGATCAAAGGTAGATTTACAACTAACAAAGAAAATGAAAAATGGATTAAGCATTCAAGGAAAAAGAACCACATAATAACCAAAAGACTGGGCTGGAAACAATGTTTAAAAAAATAAAAATATGCTACTTGAGGGTAAGAAATTATGAGGAGATTCTTTTATAGTATGTACCACTACAGAGCAATACGTTAGAAAACTTCAGTAAAACTGATGACTGTCCAGAGGCATGCCCTCCAGCTCAGGAAAACCAACAGTTTGCCAAGGTTTTGCTCTGACCTGGGCAATGGAACTAGATTACAAGGTCTAGTTCTAGAAAAGCCCTTCAAAGATAAAATAAGAGGCCTTGGGCTATGAGCACTGTAAGGACAGGCAGTATTTTGTCTTATTAACCACTGCATCCCCAGCTCCTGGCTTGTACTGTGGCACACAGGAACAACTAAAACTTTTAGAGACCGTAATTTTCAAAGAAAGTAAAACATGAATTCTAAAAACAATTCTGGAGGCCAGCACTGTGGTATAGTAGGCTAAGCCTCCACCTGTGGCGCTGGCATCCAGTATGGGCGCCAGTTTGTGTCCCAGCTGCTCTTCCAATCTAGCTCGCTGCTATGACATGGGAAAGCAGTAGAAAATGACCCAAGTGCTTGGGCCCCTGCACCCACGGGGTAGACTGGGAAGAAGCTCCTGGCTCCTGGCTCCTGGCTTTGGACTGGCCCAGATCTGGCAGTTGAACCATTGGATGGAAGACCTCTCCCGCTGTCTGTAACTCTGCCTCTCAAATAAATAAATCTTTCAAAAAAAAAAAAAAAATTCTGGAACAGTTTTCATTCTTAGAGTTGAAAACAGAAGTAAAAATTTATTAGTCAAGATGTGTTTTATTCCATAAAAAATTTACTTCCTAGGTGGACATTCCCTCTTAATTAAACTAATATATGCTATACAATCACACATTTAAAACATGGAAAGACAACAAGATCTCAAGGTGTAGACAAAAACTTCAGGGGACAAATGTTAAATATGTCCAATGTAACTAAAAAGACTTAGACTTTACTTACAAATTGCTTAAAGGGAAAAGGAATTCATGTTTAGGAAATACTTTCACTGATGGAAAACTCTAGTAAAACAAATACGCAGACACATACTAATTTACAAAGATAAAATATCTCTTAAATTCTTGTAAACCCTAAATAAGGTTAATATTAAGTGAAAATAAAATATTAAAAGTCCATCAGTGTATAATAAAGGAACTCAGTTGCTCAAGTACTACAAAGAACTTCATATTCTTTAAATCTATTCCCAAGACAGTGAATTAACTTTCAATACTAGTCCCTAAGGGGTATTAACAATAGCAGATGTTTTTGCTGGATCTGTCATTTGTTTCTCTTATTGCCTTTGCCACTTAGTACAATATAAAACTTCGAATCCAGTATTTTATGGCCTCATTTTTAATCTAACTAGTACCTAAAAAAATAAAGTTCTAGATACAAAGTTGGTGGTTTAAGGCTCAGTAAATGGTAACCATATGTAACTTTTCCTCATAAACAGAATATGAAAACCAGTTTTTGTTTATGAGCTTCATAGTATTTGTTCTGTCCAATTTATTTCTAGTAAGAAAGGATAGTGAATGGATTCCAAACAATTTTTATGTTTTTTAAGCCAAAAACCTTGGAAAATAGATCTTTAGTTCTGGCAGCAGATAGAAAATATTCTCAAAAATTCACATTTTCTTCAAAAAATTTTAACTGGCGAGCTTTCACACTGTATGTAATATACTTTTCACCCATGTGCTCCCGCAAACGTACCTATTTGGGGAAACAGATAAAAAGAAAATCAGTACAGAGCAGAAAATATGTAATCCTAAAAGAAGGGCTTTTCTAAGTACATGATTGAAGGTAGAAACCACATCAGAGAATACTAACCTGTTTACATAAAAAACTCAATTAAGAAGTCATAAGAAATTAAAGAGAAACTAGGGAAAATATGTGTAACATTCATGCCAAAAGATTAATAGCATTAATACATGGTTACTGGAATCAATAAAACATTAGAACTGACAAAACAACAAAATCAATCCCAGAGGTAAATTCAGCAAATTCATTTGCATAGGTAGGTCCCATACATTTACAAAATAGTAATAAAATAACCAATTAACACAAAATTCAGACTGACGAGCAATCAAAAAAATACTGTGACATTTAATGTATTTCTATTGAAAGAAATGCTTGAAACTAAAATAACAGCATGTTAGATACCATACGATGTACCTTATGATAATAGGCCACAATATCTTTTATGCCAAAACTACATAACCTAAGTCTAATGAGAAAACATCAGGATAAAGCAAAACCAAGGGAGATTTTATAAACACATGGCTGTACCCTTTAAAAAAAATGCCAACATCAAGAAAAACAATGACTGAGGTACAGATTAAAAGAGGTATCTACTAAATACAAAAAACATAAGCCTGATTGGTTCCACAGCTTTGCGCGACTCTTCTCAGTGAAACTGGGGAAAATTACTTTTAAAAACCATTTACTGTCCCTGGAAATGCTCCAAAGGCATACACACATCATAACGACACAATTACTCAAGAAAACCTACTAAGGGGCCAGCGCTGTGTGGTGCGCAAAGCCGCCGCCTGCGACGCCCATTCATGTCCCAGCTGCTCCACTCCCAATCCAGCTCCCTGCTAACACACTTGGGAAAGCAGTGCAAATGGTGGGGGTGCTTGTACTCCTGCCACCCATGTGGGAACCCTGATGGAGTCCCAGGATCCCAGCTTTGTTGCAGCCATTTGGGGAGTCAGCCAGTGGATGGAAGAGCTTTCTCTGTGTCACTCTGCATTTCACATGCATCTAAAAAAGGAAGGAGGGAAGAGAGAGAGAGAAAGAAGCAAACCACTCCGGACTGCTCGGCAGCTCCCAGCTGTAAAGCTGTCTTCCTGGGAGGGGCAGGACACTTGCACACCTCATCCTGCTGCCTATTATGGAGGTTCAGGTAAGTGCAGCCAAGAATCAGGAGCTCTTCTACACGACCAGACCCACAGGGAGCCCCATCCTGTGCTCCTGAAAGTAACGGGGACCCAGTCACCTCTGCTCTAATCCATTAAGTGAAGACGCCACACTAGGGGAGTTGTGCCAAGAAGCCTCCTTTCCACCACATTGTGGGGGGGGGGGGTAATCAGACTTTGCCTGGGGGTAGAAGCAGGGTTTTAAAACAGGATGCCAAACTCTAAGTGGGTGGACTTGATTTGGTTCAGAGTGTGACGTTCAAACCTAGGAGAATGCTAACAGTGGAAGTAGCGGTGAAAAGCAACTGGGAGACAGTAGATCCCCTGGAAATACAGGCTGAACTCCAGGATACGCTTGTCTGTGGGAGAAAACCAAGGTGGGAGAAGTCCTCCTGCAGCCAGAAAAAAGTCCAAAATTCTGACTTTGGGAACAATGCCTTCAAAAGAGACCAAATCTGATCAGGTCAGTCTTTGGAGCAATGCATTTCCCAGCATTACTGGAAAACAATAAAGCAATCAATTGGAAACTAAAGGATCTTAACAGCTAGGTGAAGTCAGGGAAAGAGACAGCCCTGCAAAGCCCACAATAATTTCAAGGTTACTGTTGTCCTACCCAAGGCTGCACCCACTGAGGGGTAATGTCAGGGGCTTCACACTGCAGGGAGAGACAGGAAAAAGGAGACAGGTTCACTAAAACGTTCTTCAGCCACTAAACAAAGTGGTTACCAGAAGTCCTGAGGGTAGGGAGAATGAGGATTAAATGGTAGGAAGTTTCAGTTAGGAAAATGAGTTTTTAAAAATCCACTTATTTTCATTTGAAAGGCAGAGCAAAAGACAGCTTCCATCCACTGGTTCACTCCCTAAATGCCCCCAATAGCCAGGGCTGGGCCAGGATGACCAGGAACCAGGAATTCTATCCAAGTCTCCCATGGGGATGTCAGGGACCCAAATTCTTACACCATCACCTGCTGCCTCCCACGGTGAGCATCATTAGGAAGCTGAACTAGAACCAGAGGTAGGAGTATACCACACAAAAAAGTATCTGATGTGACAGCTATGCTAATTAGCTTGATGTAATCACACTTTAAAAAATTTATTTATTTGAAAGGCAGAGACAGAGATCTTCAACTGCTGGTTCATTCCCCCAGTGCCTGCAACAGCTACAGTCAGGCAGGGTCAAAGCCAGGAGCCAGGAACTCATACCAGATCTCCCACGAAGGTGGGAGGAACCCAAGTACATGCGCCCATCACCTGTTGCTTCCCAGGGTCTGCATTAGCAGGAAGCTGGATTGAAAGCAGAGGAGCTGGGATTGGAACCAAGCAGTCTGACATGGGATCCAGGTGTCCCAAACTGTATCTTAACCCAAGTCAAATGCCCACCCCTAATCATTTCACTTTGTATACACAGATCACAACATCACATTGTAACACATAAACATACACAATTATAATTTTTCAATTAATGATAATAAAAAAGAAAGACCTTTGGTGAAGGTAAATATATGGGAAATTATAAAAGCTATAATAATGTAATAAAGGTTTGTAATTGCACTTTGTGTTTTCCACATGATTTAAAAGACTAATACACGGGCCGGCATTGTGGTGTAGCAGCTAAATGTGGGCCAGTTTACATCCCCACCACTCCTCTTCCAATCCAGCTCCCTGCTAATGCACCTGGGAAAGCAGCAGACGATGGCCCAAATGTTTGGGCCCCTGCATTCATGTGGGAGACCCAGATGAAGCTACTGGCTCCTGGCTTCAGCTGGGCCCACCCCTGGCCATTGCAGCAATTGAGGAATGAGCCAGTGGATGGAAGATCTGTCTCTCCTCTCTGTAAGTCTGCCTTTCAAACAAATAAATAAATCTTAACCAAAAAAAAAAAAAAAAAAGACAAATATGGTAAAAAAAAAAACAATTATTAGTGTAAAAGCTAGTTTTATTGTAACTTTGATTTACAACTCCATATTTTGTTTCCTACATGATTTAGAAGACCAATGCATTTTGGGAGACCAGGAGGAAGCACCTGGCTCCTGGCTTCGGATCGGCGCAGCATGCCAGCCTCAGCACGCTGGCCGTAGCGGCCATTTGGGGAGTGACCCAATGGAAGGAAGACCTTTCTCTCTGTCTCTCTCACTGTCTAATTCTGTCTGTAAAAAAAAAAAAAAACTCAATCACAAAAGCAGACCAATGCATTTAAGACACCAATAATTGGGGCCAGCCTATGGCACAGTGGGTTGAGCTCCTACTTACAATAGTGGTGTCCCATATCGAAGTGCCAGTGTGAGTCTGGCTGCTCCACTTCTAATCCAGCTCCCTGCGAAAGCACCTGAGAAAGCAGCAGATGATGGCCCAAGTACTTAAGTCCTGCCTCCCACATGGGAGTCCCACATGGAATTCTTGGCTCTTGGCTTTGGCTTAGCCTGGCCCCAGCCATTGTGGCCATTTAGGGAGTGAACCAGAGGATGGAAGATATCCCTCTCTCTCTAACTGCCTTTCAAATAAATAAATAAATCTAAAAAAGAAAAGTTACACCACAAAAAAATCAACTAAACATAAAAGAAAAAACTAATGCAGGGAGTAAGAGACCAAAAAAGCTTCACGAGGCGTATAGAAAACAAACAGTAAAATGACAGAAATAAGTCCTCCCTTATTAGTAATCACTTTAAAACAGAATGGATTAAAATAGCCAGTCAAAAGACAGAGATTACAGAAGGCATTTAGCCTAGCATTAAAAAAAAGGGGGAGGATGGCACAGTGGATAAAGCCGCCACCTGCAGTGCAGGCATCCCATATGGGTGCCGGTTCGAGACCCAGCTGCTCTACTTCCTATCCAGCTTTCTGCTATGGCCTGGGAAAGCAACAGAAGATGGCCCAAGTCCTTGGACCCCTGCACCCATGTGGGAGACCCAGAAGTAACTCCTAGATCCTGGTTTCGGATTGGTGCAGCTGCAGCCATTGCAGTCAATTGCGGAATGAACCAGTGGAGGGAAGACCTCTCTCTCCCTCTCTCTGCATAACTCTTTCAAAAAAAAAAAAGAGCCCATATCCCACATGAGAATGCCCAGATTCAGTTCCCAGCTCCAGCTTCTGACTCCACTTTCCTGTCACTGTAGACCCTGGTAGACAGTGGTAATGGCTGAAATATTTGGGTTCTTGTCACCTATACAGAAGATCTGGGTATGTTCCTGGCTCCTGGATTGGATCCAGCCACACCTGGCCCTGGCCACTGTCTCTCCCAATATCTCTTGTGTGTGTGCATGTTTGTGTGTGTATATCTGTGTATGTGTTTAAAATAAATAAATAAATTTGTTAAAGTAAAAAGACATTCTCCCAAATCATTTTTCTGATGAGATTAATTTCTAGGACATATAAAGAACTCCTATAATTCAATAATTAAAAGAAACATCACTCAATTTGAAAATAGGCAAAAGACGTGAATAGACAGTTCTCCAAAGAAAATATGCAAAAATCATGGGCGCTGGTTCAAGTCCCGGCTGCTCTACTTCCAATCCAGCTCCCTACTAATGTGCCAGGGAAAGCAGCAGAGGATGGCCCAAGTGCTTGGGTCCCTACACCCACATAGGAGACCTGGGTGAAGCTCCTAGGTCCTGGCTTTGGCTTGGCCCGCCCTGGCCATTGCAGCCATTTGGGGCATAAACCAGCGTATGGAAGATCTTTCTAATTTTGACTTAAAATTAAACAAAAAATATGCAAATAGCCAGAAGTATATGAAAAGATGAACATCATCACTAGTTGTCAGAGGAATGAACACCAATTTGCACCCACAGAATGGCTACAATCAAATAGCCAGACAATAACAAGTGTAGGGAAGGATATACCAACCTCTGATGCTGCTGATAGGAATGTAAATGCTACAGCCACTTTGGAAAATAGTCCAAAGTTTCTCAAATGTTTAAATATAAAGTTACTACATGACCTAGCAATTCTGTTCGTAGGTATACACTTCAAAGAACTGAATCCTCACAAAAACTTGTACACAAGTGTTCACAGCAGTAGAACCGACCCACATGTCCATTAGCTGAGGAATACACAAAACCCGTAAAATGGAAGCTTGCCGTATAAAAGAATGAAGTGCCAATATGTGCTACAATAATGATGAATTAAGAGAAAAACGCAAAAAAAGGCCATTTATCTAAACTTTATGGTCCCCTTTATATTAACTGTCCAGAATGGGCAAAGCCATAGAGGCAGAAATATTAATGGTTACTCAGGGGTAGGGAAATGAGGGGACAATTGGGAGTGACAATTAATGGGGTATTGAGGGCTTCTTTGGGGGGTGATGAGGATGTTCTCACATTGACTGTGGTGATGACTGTACAACTCTGTGGACATAATTAAAAATCACTGAGATATACACGTCAAAGGAGCAAACTGTATGGTATAATGTACAAACTGCATTTCTAAAGTTCGTTTAAAAGATTTTATAACATAACCAGTTTGACAGAGTCAGAACACTCACCTCTCTCTCCAACTCATCCTCCTCTTCCAAAAGATCATACACCTGTTCCAAAAGCTGAACCCCCAGGCCCTGGATTACATCAGCTCTCAAGACTTCAACTATTCTCCTGATCTTTTCAGAACCTGGCATGATGGCTAAAAAGCAATAACAAAGACAGGAAAAAAAAATACTTTCACTACCACAGCAAAAAAAATCTTGTTCTGCCAAGATTGTTTTCACTTTGACAAGAATGTAGTAATAACTAAAAAATTTATATGAGCTTAAGCTCATCATCTCCTAAACCTAAAAAATGTCTTAACAGCTTTTAGATACAATAACTTGAAGAAAATCTATAAAAAATTGCAAACACTTATTTTTTTTCCAAAGGAAAGCCAGCAAGTTTTTTTTTTAAGATTTATTTATTTATTTGAAAGTCAGAGTTACACAGAGAGAGGAGAGGCAGAGAGAGAGAGAGAAGTCCTCCATCTGATGGTTCACTCCCCAATTAGCCACAACAGCCAGAGCTGCATTGATCCAAAGCCAGGAGCCAGGAGCTTCCTCCAGATTTCCCATGAGGGTGCAGGGGCCCAAGCACCTGGGCCATCTTCTACTGCTTTCCCAGGCCACAGCAGAGAGCTGGATCAGAAGTGGAGCAGCCAGAACTCACAGTACCCATATGGGATGCCGGCACCTCAGGCCAGGGTGTCAACCTACTGTGCCACAGCGCTGGCCCCACATTTATTTTTAAAAATCAACATTCATGCTACCTTTCAGGAATACATCTGTTGCGTAAATTAAGATATATGTAATTATCCAAATGAAATAATAAACAAAAAAATTTTGGCTTAACATATTTCTTCAATAAACACAGATTCTCGTGGTGTAGGCGCTGTGTCATAACAGGTAACACCGCTGCCTGCAGTGCTGGCATCCCATATGGGCACTGGTTTGAGTCCTGGCTGCTCCACATCCAATGCAGCTCTGGGCTATGCCCTGGGAAAACAGTGGAAGATGGACAGCGTGGGAGACCCCAAAGAAGCTCCTGGCTCCTGGTTTTGGATTGGCTCAGCTCCAGCCGTTGTGGCCATTTGGGAAGTGAACTAATGGATGGGAAACCAATCTCTCTCTCCCTGCCTCTGCCTCTCTCTAACTCTGCCTTTCAAATAATAAATAAATCTTTTTTTAAAAATTTAAAAAAATAAAGACATATTCTCCAGTTTCTTGAAAGGATAAACCGATCACCTGAAGGTAGCTCTTTAAAATGGAACTGCTCGGCCTCCTCTGCAACCTTCCCGTGAAGTATTAATGTGTCCCGATACTTCCGATGAAGTTTGAATTCTGACACTGGATTTGGTACCGGCAGATCCTCACAGCTCTCTTTAGAATCCAGTTTCAGAGTCTGAGTCATCAACTGAACCAAGTCACTCATTTCATTTGTATGACCTTTCCTGAAAAAGAAAAACAAAATTCCCCTCATTATTTAATTGGTTTCATGAAAATTTTTTCATTAAAAAAAAAGGGGGGGGGGGGTGGGCATTGTGGTACAGCAAGTCAAGCTGCCACCTGCGACGCCTGTGTCCTATATGGACACTGGTTTGAGTCCCAGCTGCTTCACTTCCTATCCAGTTCTCTGCTGTGGCCTGGGAAAGCAGTGGAGGATGGCCCAAGTCCTTGGGCCCCTACACCCATGTGGGAGACCCAGAAGAAGTTCCTGACTCCTGGTTTCGGACCAGCCCAGCTTCTGCCATTGTGGTCATTTGGGGGAGTGAACCAGAGGATAGAAGATCTCTTTGTCTTTCTCTCTCTGTAACTCTGCCTTTGAAATAAATAAATTAAAAAAAATATATATTCAAAATGAGCTTTAGCGACTTCTAAGTGCTCAAGTAAGTCCCTCATAAATAACTAAAAATTAGACAAGGGCCGGTGCTGTGGCTCACTAGGCTAATCCTCTACCTGCGATGCCGGCACCCTGGATTCTAGCCCCGCTCAGGGCACCAGATTCTATCCTGGTTGCTACTCTTCCAGTCCAGCTCTCTGCTGTAGCCCGGGAAGGCAGTGGAGGATGGCCCAAGTGCTTGGGCCCTGTACCCACATGGGAGACCAGGAGGAAGCACCTGGCTCCTGGCTTGGGATTGGCACAGCGCACTGGCTGTGGTGGCCATTTGGGGGGTGAACCAACGGAAGGAAGACCTTTCTCTCTGTCTCTCTCTCTCTCTCACTGTCTAACTCTGCCTGTCAAAAAAAAAAAAAAAATTAGACAAAATGCTAAAATCAACTACATGGAGGCAATGAAGAATGAATGAAATCTGTAGGCAATTCTAAAGGAAGTCAATATCTTTCAGTCTAAGTGCAGGCCACAGGCAGCTCAAAGTACAACTCTTTCTGGCCTATAGAATCCAAGGACAAAATTCAGGACAACCACTATCAGTACAAAGTGAAAGAGGAACCTTGGAAAGGAGAGGGCCCAGAAGAAGCAACTTCAGATTCTGTGTACAATTTTTTTAAATATTTATTTTATTTATTTGAAAGGCAGACTTACAGAGGAAGAGATTGTCTATCTACTGGTTTACTACCCAAATGACTGCAACAGCTAAAGCTGGGTCAGGCAGAAGCCAGGAGCCAGGGTGGCAGGAGCTCAGGTACTTGGGCCACCTTCCACTGCTTTCCCAGGCACATTACCTGGGAGCTGGATCAGAAGTGGAGCAGCCAGGACTCAAATATGGGATGCTAGCATCACAGGAGGTGGCTTAACACACCACCATGACACTAGCCCTATGTGTACAAATTCTGCCCAATCATTTCCAGTAACTTAACTACCCTCAAGTATAATGCTCAAGAATATTTAAAGAAATACAAACATATCAGCCCCAGATTAGGTAAAACTGACAGTACTTGGCATCCAGTCAAAAACTACCATACAGCACATGTATTTGACATAGAAATTAAAATACTGCTTGGGACACTGGCATATTTTTTGTAAAGATTTATTTTTACTTGATTGAAAAAGTTACACAGAGAAACAGAGAAAGAGAGATCTATCCACTGGTTCACTCCCCAGATGGCTGCAATGGCTGCAGATGGGCAGATATAAAGCCAGGAGCCAGGAGCTTCTTCTGGGTCTCCTATGTAGATTCAGAATCCAAAGCTCTTAGGCCATCCTCCGCTGCTTTCCCAGGCACATTAGCAGGGAGCTGGATAGGAAGTGGAGCTGCCAGGACTTGAACCATAGCCCATATGGGACGCCAGCGCTGCAAACAGCAGCTTTACCCACTATGCCACAGCACCAGCCCCAGCCCCTAATATCAGAGTACCTGGGTTCGAGTCTTGGCTCTGCTCCTAATTTCAGCCTCCTGCTAATGTGCACTCTAGAAGGGAGTAGGCAAGGGCTCGATTAGTTGAGTCCTTGCCACCTACACAGGAGAACCTGGACTGAGCCCCAGCTCCAGCTTCAGCTGGTCTGGTCCCAGGTGTTGTGGGCATCTGGGCCATGAACCAGCAGATGAGGTATCTGTGTGCTGTGTGTCTGCCTTTCATAGTGCTGTGACACAGCAGTTTAAATTATATGATGCTGGCATCCCATACTGGAGTGACAATACAAGTCCCAGCTGCTCTATTTCTGATCCAGCTCCTTGATAATGCACCTAGGAAAGCAGATGATGGCCCAAGTACTTGGAACCCTGCCACCCATGAGAGACACAGATGGAGTTTCAGGCTCCTAGCTTTGGCCTGACACACTCCCTGCCATTTTGGCCATTTGGGGAATGAACCAGTAGATGAAAGATCTCTCTTTCTCTGTATCTCCTTCTCTATCACTTTGTCTTTTAAATAAAATAAATATCTTTTAAAAAAAGAAATAATCAAACATAGAACTGCAGGAAAATATCACAAAATTATGAAGCAGAAAAGTGACATGCGCGTGATAGAATTAATTATGAGATGAGACCATTAAAATGCTTAAAATGTATTCCATTTGTCCAAGATAGATGAAAATATGAACATGTTAAAGAGTAGTATGGAAGATATAAAAAAGAACCAAATCAAACTTTTAGAGATGAAAAATACAACATGTTAAATACAAAGAAGGGCTGGCGCTGTGGTGTAGCGGGTAAAGCTGCCGTCTGCAGTGCCAGCATCCCCTGGTGCCAGTTCGAGTCCCTGCTGCTCCACTTCTGATCCTATTCTCTGCTATGGCCTGGGAAAGTAGCAGAAGATGCCTCAAGTTCATGGACCCCTGCACCCACATGGGAGACCCAGAAGAAGCCCTTGGCTTCTGGCTTCAGATCAAAACAGCTCTGGCTGTTGCAGTCATTTGAGGAGTAAACCAGCAGATGGAAGACCTCTCTCTCTCTGCCTCTCCCTAACTATGCCTTTTAAATAAATAAATAAATCTTTTTAAAAAATATAAAGGATAGGAGTAACAATTAGATCCTTCAGAAAAAGATTAGAGAACCAATCTTTTAGGAATAGATAAGAGCAACAGAATCTATGGGAAAAAAAATAAAACAGAGAAAAAGTAGAACAAACAGAGCTTCAGTGGACTGCGAGACAACTTTAAGCAGCCTGATATAAATGAAACTGGAGTCTCCAGGAGGGCAGGGGAGATCCAGAAAATACATGAAGCACTAGTGGTCAACATATCTGATAAGAAATTAAATGAGGCTGGTGCCGCGGCTCACTAGGCTAATCCTCCACCTTGCAGCGCCAGCACACTGGGTTCTAGTCCCAGTCGGGGCACCGGATTCTGTCCCAGTTGCCCCTCTCCCAGGCCAGCTCTCTGCTGTGGCCCGGGAGTGCAGTGGAGGATGGCCTAAGTCCTTGGGCCCTGCACCCACATGGGAGACCAGGGGAAGCACCTGGCTCCTGGCTTCGGATCAGCGCGGTGCGCTGGCTGCAGCGCACCGGCCACGGCGGCCATTGGAGGGTGAACCAACAGCAAAGGAAGACCTTTCTCTCTCTCTCTCTCTCACTGTCCACTCTGTCAAAAAAAAAAAAAAAAAAAAAAAAGAAATGAAAACCAGATGTGTTCACAGAAGATATCATTAGCTCTAGCATATATCATAAACCATTTATAATGTTATCAGTGAGAGTTCTGCAAGTCTCAATACTACAGCAAATGTACATTTAGGATTAATTCTATCAGAAATAGTTTATGTAGGGAGACAGTAAAACAAGAGCTTACCCTTCCCTGGAATCCCCATCTGACTTATCAGTTGAACTTGTAGAAGAACTTAACTCATCCTCAGACAGACAATGAATCAATTTCCTTTCCTATTTATGTTAGGAAAAAAACAAAATACATGACACACAACCAGAATATAATACACAAAATAGTCTTAGATGCACTGACTAAACACAAGTGATGTTAACTGCAATTTAACAAGTGAAACTAAAGGATGTAAACACTAAAGTTATTTTACATAACTGATGTCCCGGCTCACGCATGAAGTTCACCAGTGAAGCATGAGGAACATCAAGGTGAAGTGGTACCAGGCCTGGAGAGCCTCAGCTGTGAAGACATTCCCTTCCCTGAGGACAACAAATGAATGCTCCGCTTTTCAACCCCCAGGCAGACAGCTTATCCCAGAAGAAATACTCGTATTTCATTTCATTTCATGTAGTTATTTTTTTAATGGCGAAACAGTCCTTTTTAAAATGTATTTTTAGTTTTTAGCAGATTCACAGTGATTTGTAGAAACATTCTAAGAACATAATGATATTCCCCTTCTCCCTCCCTCCCCTCTCACCCACCTTCATTTTCTTTCTTTTTTTAGATTTTGAGATAACATATTTTAAATTTACATTATAGTAAAAGGCTTAATACTTCACAAGTTTAAAAAATAAAATACAAAAAGACTAAGTTTAGTGGGAATACAGGCAACAGCTAAAAGCAGTAATTGAATGGAAAAATTATCACTACACTCATATATAGTAAATTTTAAAATAATCACAGATCATTAAAACTACAGTACTATCACATTGTAGCCATTGGTGTGACAAAGGTATAAAACAAACTTTTACAAAACTATATTTGTAGCAATCCTGAGACACGTAAACATTTCTTTCTTTATTCATTCTTTTGTTTGTTTTTTTGTTTAAATTTTAGCTCCCACATATAAGGGAGAACATGGGGTATTTGTCTTTCTGAGTCTGGTCTATTTCACTCAACATGAAGTCATCCAGTTGTGTCCATTTTGCTAAAAATGGCAGAATTTCATTCTTTTTTACAGATGAACAGGACTACTGGTATTTTAAATTTGATGGAATGCTACCTAAATCCTGGCAACCTCAGCTTATTCACGTGAGACTACTGAAGCGCTTAATGAATTACCTGATATAACCACATACAAATCTTACAATTTTGGGAAATGGAGAAAGTAGTCTCAATTAGTAGTGTAAATAAATGATTTTATTAAAGAAACAATACCTTCAATACTTTCAAAGCAGGAAAAATTATTCCCCAGGATATTATACAGAGCGGTGAACATGGGTTGGAAACCTTGCAATTACCCATGTAGCCACCAGATGGTGTCCCTGCATCAACCACAGGAGAGAAAGTAAGATAAACGCCACCAACAGGCAAGACCAGCAAGTGAGAGGAAAACTGAGCCCTGCAGACCACACAGCAGAAGCAGCAAAGGGTGGGGGCGGGCACTGTGGTGCAGCAGGTTAAGCCTTCTCCTGCAATGCCAGCATCCCATATCAAGAGTGCTGGTTCGAGTCCTGGCTGCTTCGCTTCCAATTCAGCTCCCTACTATCGCACCTGGGAAGGCAGCTGATGATGGCCCAAGTGCTTGGGCTCCTACCACTCACAAAAGAGACCCAGAATTTCTGGCTCCCAGCTTTTGCCTGGCCCAGCCCTGGCTACTGCAGCCATTTAGGAAGTGAACCAGTAGATCCAAGATCTCTATCAACTGACCTCTCTCTCTCTCTCTCTCTCTCTCTCTCTCTCTCACTGGCAGATCAGAGAAATACCTATCCCTGACACTACTTTTCAAATAAAAAAGAAAAAAAAAAAAATGCTGCCCAGCGGAAGCCCTTAAGAATCCCTGTTTAGGGGCCGGTGCCATGTGGCACAGTAGGTTGATCCTCTGCCTGCAGTGCCTGCATCCCATGGGGGCACTGGATCTAGTCTCAGCTGCCCCTCTTCCGATCCAGCTCTCTGCTGTGGCCTAGGAAAGCAGTAGAGGATGGCCCAGGCCCTTGGGCCCCTGCACCTGAGGGGAGAGCAGGAAGAAGCTCTTGGCTTCCACTCCCATTGTGGCCACCTGGGGAGTGAACCAATGGAAGGAAGACCTTTCTCTCTGTCTCTCCATCTCACTGTCTGTAACTCTACTTCTCAAATAAATAAATAAAATCTTTTTTTTTTTTTTTTTAAAAAGGATTCTTGTTTAAAGACTACCTAAGATTGTAAACCAGCTGTCAATTGTTTACAGGAATGCCTCAGAGGTCAGCATTGTGTTGCAAAAGGTTAGCTACTTGCAGTGCCCACATCCCATATGGGCGCTAATTCGAGTCTGGCTGCTCCACATGTTTTCTTTTGTTTTTTTCTTCCAAGATGTTTTTTGTTTTTGTTTTTGTTTTTTTTGTTTGTTTGTTTTGACAGGCAGAGTGGACAGTGAGAAAGAGAGAGAAAGGTCTTCCCTTGCCGTTGGTTCACCCTCCAATGGCCGCCGTGGCCAGTGCGCTGCAGCCAGCGCACCGTGCTGATCCGAAGCCAGGAGCCAGGTGCTTCTCCTGGTCTCCCATGTGGGTGCAGGGCCCAAGGACTTGGGCCATCCTCCACTGCACTCCCGGGCCACAGCAGAGAGCTGGCCTGGAAGAGGGGCAACCGGGACAGAATCCGGTGCCCCGACTGAGACTAGAACCCGGTGTGCCGGCGCCGCAAGGCGGAGGATTAGCCTAGTGAGCCGTGGCGCCGGCCCCCAAGATTTTTTTTTTATTTGAAAGTCAGAGTTACACAGAAAGAGGAAGAGACAGAGAGAGGTCTCTCATCTGCTGGTTTGCTCCCCACAACAGTTGGCTCTGGGCCAGGCAGAAGCCAGAAGCAACTTCTGGGTCTCCCATAATGGGTCCAAATCTCTGAGCCATCCTCTGCTTTTCCTAGACCATTACTGACTGTTCTACTTCTTCTTCTTTTTTTTTTAATAACTTTATTCAGAATCATACAATGTCCTTCTATTTATTTAGATCATCTTTTATTATCTCTTACTACAGCTTTTAAATATTTTTAAAAGATTTATTTATTTAATTGAAAGGCAGAGTTACAGAGGGACAGAGGCAGAAAGAGAAAGGTCTGTCTTCCATCTGCTGGTTCTTTCCCCAAATGGCCACAACGGCTGGATCCGGGCCAATCTGAAGCCAGGAGCCTGTAGATTCTTCTGGGTCTCCCATGTGGGTGCAGGGGCCCAAACACTTGGGCCATCTTCCACTGTTTTCCCAGGCACATTAGCAGGGAGCTGGATTGGAAGTGGAGCAGCAGGAATTGAACTGGTGCCCATGTGGGATGCTGGCACTGTAGGCAGCAGCTTTACCCACTATGCCACAGCGCTGGCCCCAGGTTACTCCACTTCTGATCTAGCTCCCTGCTAATGCACCTGGGAAGGCAGCAGAAGATGGCCCAAGTGCTTGGGCCCCTGTACGCATGTGGTTCTGGCTCCTGGCTTCAGCCTGGCCCAGTCCTGCTTACTGTGGCCGTGTCGGGAGTGAACCAGTGGAGGAAGAGCTCTCGCTCTCTCTTTCCCTCTCTAAGTAACATCTCCTTTCAAATAAGTAAAAATCAATCTTTAAAACAAGCAAACAAAAAAGGCTGCCTCAAAAACTCATTCCCTAATGGGTCAAACAATCATTTCAGTGATCATCTGCCAGTTCCTCTCTTTATCGACTGAAGGCAGCCCCGTCTGAAATAAGTAGAGCTGACGTTTATGAGGTGCTTCGCTAGGCTCGCCAGCAGCAGACACGTCCACCTCTCCCTCACGAGTGTGTAACGCACCTTAGAGAAACTGCAGTCGGAAGAGGACCGTCGGGCAGGGGGGTGCTGGCCTTCCTCCTGTGGTTTCCCTGGCCCCACTGCACTCACAGCTCTCCTCACTGAAGGGCCTGGAAAAGCAAACACCCCCAGGGACTGTGGTGGGCTGGCCTCACCTGGGGAAGACTTTACACTGGATTTGGAAGAGAGCCCAGCAAGGTTCAGCCCAGACATAACTCATCACCACCTTGGCATCTGACCCGAGTTCAGATCTCAGCCCTGGGTCTCCCGGCTCTGGGACCCTGGGCAAGTTACTCACCTTCCCACAGCCTCAGTTTCCTCAGCTGCAAAGAAGGTAATGCAGCTGACTCTGATGGCTGCTGCAAACATGAAATAAGGCCCTTAAGATGTTGAGGTTAGTGCTTAAGACACGGTGAGCATTTACTAAATGCAAACTGCTAATGACGTCTTCGGGCCCCAACAGCAACGTCCACAGCCTCAGCCAGGGCAGCATCCCTCCGCTAACCCCGCTCTGCTCTGCAGAAGACACACTGCCCTGACCAGGAGCTGAACACGGGAACGAGTTAACAAGTTTCCAGGTGGAAACTCAATGGTCTTTTGCTCTTTTTAAAAATCCTCTTTCTCCGGCTGGCGCCGCGGCTCACTAGGCTAATCCTCCGCCTTGCAGCGCCGGCACACCGGGTTCTAGTCCCGGTCGGGGCACCGGATTCTGTCCCGATTGCCCCTCTTCCAGGCCAGCTCTCTGCTGTGGCCAGGGAGTGCAGTGGAGGATGGCCCAAGTGCTTGGGCCCTGCACCCCATGGGAGACCAGGAGAGGTACCTGGCTCCTGCCATTGGATCAGTGCCATGCGCTGGCCGCAGTGCGCCGGCCGCGGCGGCCATTGGAGGGTGAACCAACGGCAAAAGAAGACCTTTCTCTCTGTCTTTCTCTCTCACTGTCCACTCTGCCTGTCAAAAAAAAAAATCCTTTCTCTAAAGATACCTGTTTCAGATTCAACAGCTGACGATTTCTTAAAAGGCTTGACTAAGAAATTTCAGAAACTCTTTCAAATAGATTTCCCAAAGGAATTATTGCCACCTGAATGTCTTCAGACCTCAAGCTCAGCACCAGCGCTGTGCCAGGGAGTCAGACCATCAAGCACCAATCAGATGAAGAACAGGGGTCAGCTTTACCTGAGGGGAGCACCTCCTCCTGGGACTGCTTTAGTCGTCTCCTCTCTCTGGCTGATAATGGTCGACCCTTTAAAAAAAAAAAAAAGTCATTTCCATTCCTGCCGACTGTTCTCACAGCACCTACAACACCTGATGTATCACCTGGGACTAGAGAAAGGCGATGCACTGGCATTTCAGGGAGTGATCGTCGGAAACCAGTCTACATCAGGATAAGGCGACTAGCTAGGAATGGCTACCACCCTTGTTTTTAGCAGGTGCTTATTTCTGGAAGAGGAAATGGGGACTTCTGCAATTGCCATACTCAGGAATCTACTTCTGCTGACCAACTACGGAACCAGAGAATCTGTGCATTTCAATCAAAGCTGCTGAGAATCCCAAATCTGTCTCTTCCAGTATTTGGCAAAGAAACAGAGTTTAGATGTTTTAATATGAACTTCACAAAACATGCAGGATTTTACGACCCAAAAGCTTTATAAGGTTTTTTGTTTTTTGTGTTTTTTTTTGTGTTTTTTTTTTTTTTTTTTTGACAGGCAGAGTGGACAGTGAGAGAGAGAGACAGAGAGAAAGGTCTTCCTTTGCCGTTGGTTCACTCTCCAATGGCTGCCGTGGCCGGCGCACTGTGGCCAGCGCACCGCGCTGATCCGATGGCAGGAGCCAGGTACTTATCCTGGTCTCCCATGGGGTGCAGGGCCCAAGAACTTGGGCCATCCTCCACTGCACTCCCGGGCCACAGCAGAGAGCTGGACTGGAAGAGGGGCAACCGGGACAGAATCCGGCGCCCCGACCGGGACTAGAACCCAGTGTGCCGGCGCTGCAAGGCGGAGGATTAGCCTAGTAAGCCGCGGCACCAGCAGGTTTTTAAAAAATCTAAGAGATACTGCCACACACCTTTGATGACAGCTCACTGCTCCCTGAACTGCTCCCAGACCCAGTGACCACTCTACTCTGGTTTTCAGCATCTTTTTGCGTTGATCTAACAGCCACGTTTCCAATAGTGGGATGAGAAGGCAAAAGTCCAGAAGGTGCCTCATGGATCTTCAATAATTAAAAAAGAAAGAGAGATTGTTAGTTTCATATACAGCAACCTCCAAAGAGCACCACTGGTAGGTCCTCTATGTAGCTGCCAAAACATTCCATTTTTTTTTTTCAAGAGACTGCCAAATGTGAATGGCCTTCTAAAAAGCCTGTGGACAGTGTGCCTGTGAGAGTTACCTGAAGAAAGGAGGTGCCCCTGGAGGAAGTGTGCAGAGAATGAGGGAAGAACTGTGCACAGACGCAGTAAGAAGGGATCAGAGAGCCCCCTCCTCACCCTGTTAACTCTCAAGTTGATCTGTCCATCTGTGCTGAGAAGATAAAACCTTCACTCTGCTTTCAACTCTCTGATACCCGGAAACCAGCATGCAGCATCTTGCTGTTATCCTTCTGCCTACGTTCCTGGCATTTCTATGTGACCTTCTGGTAGCCTCCCAACATTTACCTCCCAAACAGCAGCACCATGACTTACTGCAAAGATCCCTCCACCAACCTGTCTCTTTCTCCCAGTGTGCTCAGTCTGTTCTCTTTTCTTCTGTCGTCTCTGTCGAGACAGAGAGGGTTCAGACCCCGAATTGTGCGGCTGGAAACCTTTGTGGATTCTGCCCAGGTTTTCTGCATTACATTCACCAGCAACCTGGTTCTTAAAAATAATAAAATGAGTCACACACACATGAGAAAACCACAGAATAATGAAGCAGTCTTTTGAACTTTTCAAATGGACAAACTCTCCGTGCCTACTTCTAAACTGAATGACAATGAGAAGGAGAAGTTGTCTTTCTCAAAATCAATGCTCATTTGCAGCACTGACAGGCAAAGACAAAATGCTGGCATCAGTTATCCAAATATTCTGGCTTTTTCCTTTCCCTCCAGACAAAAATAATATTTTTGTTAAAGATTCATTTATTTGTTTGAAAGAATTAGAGAGCGGGAGAGACAAGGAGAGATCTTCCATCTGCTGGTTCACTCCCAGATGGCCACAATGGCTAGGACTGGGCCATCCTCCACTGCTTTTCCTTGGCCACTAGCAGGGAGCTGGATTAGGAGTGGAGCAGCCAGGACATGAACTGGCACCCAAATGGCATGCCGGTGTTGCAGGTGGCAGTTTTACCTACTACACCACAAAACAGGCCCCCCCCAAAAAATTAGTTTAATAAAATTATCAAACAGTGATTATCCTGAAATTATTAAAGTTTAATTCAGTTTTTAAAATAAATTTCTATATAACTTTAATTTTTTAAATTATATGAGAGGCAGGGAAACAGATAAGAGTTCCCACCTGCTGGTTCACCCCCTAAACGTCCACAACAGCTGGAGCTGGGTCAGCCTGAAGCTGGAAGCTAGGAATGCAACCCAGGTCTTCCACATGGGTGGCAGGGACTCAAGTACTTGAGTCTTCACCTGCTGCCTCCCAGAATGTGCGTTTGCGGGAAGCTGGAGTTGGGAATGGAGCCAGGACTTGAATCCAGGTCCTCCTGTAGGAGATGCCGGTGTCCCAACTAGCTTCTTTTTTTTTTTTTAATTATTATTATTATTATTTTTTTTTTGACAGGCAGAGTGGACAGTGAGAGAGAGAGAGACAGAGAGAAAGGTCTTCCTTTTTTTTGCTGTTGGTTCACCCTCCAATGGCCGCCGCGGCCAGCGCGCTGCGGCCAGCGCACTGCGCTGATCCGATGGCAGGAGCCAGGTACTTCTCCTGGTCTCCCATGGGGTGCAGGGCCCAAGGACTTGAGCCATCCTCCACTGCACTCCCGGGCCACAGCAGAGAGCTGGCCTGGAAGAGGGGCAACCGGGACAGAATCCGGCGCCCCAACTGGGACTAGAACCCGGTGTGCCGGTGCCGCAAGGCGGAGGATTAGCCTAGTGAGCCGCGGCGCCGGCCTCCAACTAGCTTCTTAACCACTAGGTCAAACAGCAACCGCATACTAGGCTTTCCACTCCTAAAATGCATATGTTTTAAGTAAGAGCCAATTTAATACACATTTACTCCCGGGCAAACATCAGTTACTTGGATGCGTCCTAAAACAGCACTGAGGAAAGCAATGAGTTTGGAGTCTGATGGAGTGATACGTGAGAAGTTTAATCTCCCTGAGCTCAGCTTCCTCACCCAGCATTCCCCACAATTCATTCATCCATTGGTGTTCATGGTGGAACTGGTTCTGGGAACCCCCCTTGGATACCAAAATCCAAGGATGCTCAAGTTCCTTACACAAAGCGATATGATATTTGCATATAACCTACTTATAACTTCTCCTATACTTCAATCATCTCTAAATTTAAGCATCTCTAGATTTCTTTTAAAGATTTTTTTATTTTATTTGAAAGGCAGACTTATAGAGAGAAAGAGAAGGAAAGACAGAGAGAGATCTACCATCTGCTGGCCACTGCCCAAATGGGCACAACAGAGGAGGTAGATTGGTCTGATGCCTGGAGCCAGGAGCTTCTACCAGGTCCCCTACATGGGTGCAGGGACCCAAGCACTTGGGTCATCCTCTGCTGCTTTCCCAGGCACCTTAGCAGGGAGCTGGATCAGAAGTGGAGTAGCCAGAACTTAAATTAGTGCCCATATGGGACACCGACACCACAGGCAGTGGCTTCACCTGCTGTGCCATGGCACCAGCCCCTAATTACCTTTAAAAAGGTAAGTTCTATGTAAAAAATGTTATACTACATTGTTTAGGGAATAATAACAAGAAAAAAAGTGTGTTCAATACAGACAAAAGTTGTTTTCTGAATCTTTTTGATACACAGTTGGTTGAACCTGTGGGTGTGGAAGCTGTGGATAGAGAGAGCCAACTGTGGGAGGTTAGTGGAAGTGGTACACAAGAGGGATCACGAGCTGGCGCCGTGGCTCAACAGGCTAATCCTCCGCCTAGCGGCGCTAGCACACCGGGTTCTAGTCCCGGTCGGGGCGCCGGATTCTGTCCCGGTTGCCCCTCTTCCAGGCCAGCCCTCTGCTGTGGCTAGGGAGTGCAGTGGAGGATGGCCCAGGTGCTTGGGCCCTGCACCCCATGGGAGACCAGGAAAAGCACCTGGCTCCTGGCTCCTGCCATCGGATCAGCGCAGCACGCCGGCCGCAGCGGCCATTGGAGGGTGAACCAACAGCAAAGGAAGACCTTTCTCTCTGTCTCTCTCTCTCACTGTCCACTCTGCCTGTCAAAAAATAATAATAATAATAAAAAAAAGAGGGATCACAGGCTATATCTGGCACACATTACATGCTCAAAAGAACAGGAGCTTTGATAGCAGTAATAATGATAAAATGAATTACCTCAAGTTTTGAAGATCACCAAAGACTTAGTGATTTATGTAGATAGGTGGTTTTACAAACTGAGGCATGTCAAACACTAAAATAATAGATTCTTTTACTTATTTTCAATAATTTTTTAAAAGACTTAGCCAGGCCAGCGCCGCGGCTCACTAGGCTAATCCTCCGCCTTGCGGCGCCGGCACACCGGGTTCTAGTCCCGGTCGGGGCGCCAGATTCTGTCCTGGTTGCCCCTCTTCCAGGCCAGCTCTCTGCTGTGGCCCCTGAGTGCAGTGGAGGATGGCCCAAGTGCTTGGGCCCTGCACCCCATGGGAGACCAGGAGAAGCACGTGGCTCCTGGCTTCAGATCAGCGCGGTGCGCCGGACGCAGCAGCCATTGGAGGGTGAACCAACGGCAAAGGAAGACCTTTCTCTCTGTCTCTCTCACTGTCCACTTTGCCTGTCAAAAAAAAAAAAAAAATAAAAATAAAAATAAAAAAAAATAAAAGACTTAGCCAATCTGACACCAGGAGCTTCTTCCGGGTCTCCTATGGGGTACAGGAGCCCAAGCACTTGGGCCATCTTCTACTGCTTTCCCAGGCCATAGAAGAGAGCTGGATCAGAAGTTGAGCAGCCAGGACTCAAACCGCCGCCCATATGGGATGCCGGCACTATAGGTGGCAGCTTAACCTGCTATGCCACAGGGCCAGCCTCTATTTGAATAATTTTTAACTACCAGAATTACCTGTTTTCAAGATGGACACTGGTAGTTAATATCAATCAATCAACAAATTTTATCAACAGATTACTATGTGGTACATTATAGAAAGTCATTATCAGGGCCGGAGTTGTGGCATAGCAGATTAAGCCTCTGCCTGTGACATTGGCATTCCATATGGGTGCTGGTTCAAAACCCAGCTGTTCTACTTCTGATCCAGCTCCCTGCTAATGCACCTGAGAAAGTAGTGGAAGATAGGCCAAGTTCTTGGGCCCCTGCACCACATGGGAAACCTGGAAGAAGCTCTGGCTCCTTGATTCTGCCTGGCCCAGCCCCGGCCACTGCAGCCATTTGGGGAGTGAACCAGTGGATGGACAATCTCTCTGTCCCTCCTCCTCTCTCTGTAACTCTGCCTTTCAAATAATTTTTTAAAAAATTAAAAAAAAAGAAAGCTATTATCACCAACACAACATTTTTAGATCTTTGGCAAACATAAAATTGTACATAAAATAACAAATTTATTCTTCCAAGAGTATATCTAATACAGGATGTATAACACAGTAAATGACTAATTTTACAATATTATTATATAATAATCTAGTTGAATAGAGACCAAAATAATAAACAACAAATGATTCAGTTCTGGAAGATGGAAATAAATTTTCCTCTACTGATAATAGTAAGTATAGATGTTCCAAATAAAGCTTATGTATGTATGAAATGACAGGAACAAAAGACTTAAGGAATTTCTCCATGAAATCCAACTGATCCTGAAAAAAAGCCATTCCACTTTTATGAAAAAGAAGAAGAAAAACAAGGAGTAATGCCAGACATAAAATTCTATTAAAACACAAAATATCTGCTCTAAAATCCTGGTGTAACAAATGAATTTGATCAGGAATAAGACAAGGGTAAATACTTTTAGCCCTTCTATTCAACACTGTACTTGAAGTTCACACCAGGAAATTTAGGCAAAAAAAAAAAAAAAAAAAAAGGAGGCAGGTGTTGTGGCACAGCAGGTTTAGCCACCACAGGCAATGCCAGCATCCCACAAGGATGCCAGTCTGAGCCCAACTGCTCCACCTCCAATCCAGCTCCCTGCTAATGGCTTAGGAAAAAGCTACGAAAGATGTGGGAGACCCAGATGAAGCTGCTGGCTCCTGGCTTCCACCTGGCCCAGTCCCAACCATTGCAGCCATTCAAGGAGTGAACCAGCAGATGTAAGATCTCTCTCTCCCTCTCTCTCTCTCACTCCCTTCCCTCACTAACTCTTTCAAATGAATAAAATTAATCTTAAAAAAAAAAAAAAAAGGCAGAAAGAAAAGGAGCACAGACAGGATAGGAAGAAGTGAAACTATCATCTCTATTTGCAGATGACAATGATCTTGTATTCAGAAATTCCTAAGGAGTCCACTAAAAAAATATGAGAATGGGGGCCAGTGCTGTGGCACAGCAGGTTAAAGCCCTGGCCTGAAGTGCTGGCATCCCATGTGGGCACCAGTTCTAGTCCCAGCTGCTCCTCTTCCAATCCAGCTCTCTGCTACAGCTTGGGATAGCAGTAGAAGATGGCCCACATCCTTGGGCCCCTGCACCCACGTGGGAGACCCGGAAGAAGCTCCTGGATCCTGGCTTCGGAACACACAATTCCAGCCATTGCGACCATCTGGGGAGTGAACCAGAGGATGGAAGACCTCTCTCTGTCTCTACCTCTCTCTGTAACTCTTTCAAATAAATAAAATAAATCTTTAAAAAAATATACAAGAATGAATAAACAAATTCAGCAAGGTTGCAGAACACAATATCACTAAAAACCAAATCAAATGTACTTCTTTTTCAATTATTTTTTATTTAAAAAATACTTTATTAATTTGAAAGGCAGAGAGACAAAGAAAGGGACAGGCAGAGAGATAGATCTTCCATCTGCTGGTTCACTCCCCAGATGGCTGCAACGGCCAGGCTGAGCTTCTTCTGGGTCTCCCAAATGGGTGCAAGGGCCCAAGGACTTGGGCCATCTTCCACTGCTTTCCAAGGCCATAGCAGAGAGCTGGATCAGAAGTGGAGCAGCTGGGACTGGAACCAGAGCCCATATAGGATACCAGCATCTCAGACACTGACTTAACAGGCTACACCACAGCCCCTCAAGGTACACTTCTATATGCTAGCAGTGAACAATCCAAAACTAAATTGTGAGAATTCCATTTACAATAGTATCTAAAAGAATAAAACACTTAGAGATAAATTTTTTTAAATCTTTTTAATTAAAAAAAAAAAAAAAGACTTCATACTGAAAAAAAAAAGCATCTCAGGGACCAGACCAGTGGCATAGTAGGCTAAGCCTCAACCTGCAGTGCTGGCATCCCATATGGGCACCAATTTGTATCCCAGCTGCTCTTCTTCCAATCCAGCTCTCTGCTATGGCCTGGGAAAGCAGTAGAAGATGGCCCAAGTGCTTGGGCCCCTGCACCCGTGTGGGAGACCCAGAAGAAACTCCTGACTCCTGGCTTCAGGTCAGCCCAGCTTCAGCTGTTGTGGCCATTTGGGGAGTGAACCAGCAGATGAAGATCTCTCTCTGTCTTTCCCTCTCTCTGTTTTTAACTACACCTCTCAAATAAAAACATAAAATCTTATTTAAAAAGTTTTTTTTAATGTTAGCATTCTTTATAAAGATTGTCAGGATAATCTTAAAATTCATATGGAGGGGCCAGCATTGTAATGCAGCAGGTTAGGGCCCAACTTGGGCACCACCACCCCATATCTGCCAGTTTTGATACTGGCTACTCTGTTTCCAATTCAGTTTCTAGCTAATGCACCCGGGAAAGCAGTGCTAGATGGTCCAAGTATTTGGGGCCCTGCCACCCATGTCAGAGACCAGGATGAGGTTCCTGCCTCCTGCCTCAGACATGGCTGTTGTGACCATTTAAGGGGTGAAGCAGCAGAGCCAAGATCTCTGTCTCTCTCTCTGTCACTTTGCCCTTCAAATAAATAAACAAAACTTATTTTAAAATTTACATGGAAATGCATAAAACCCAAAAGATAGAAAAATATCAAAAAATAATGATAAAGTTCAAAGACTCACATTTCCTGATTTCAGCATTTACTGCAAAACTACAGTGATCCAGACAATGTATTAGGACAGACATATAGATCAGTGGAACAGAACTGAGACTTGAGAAATAAACTCTTATTATTTATAGTCTATTGATTTTCAACAAGGGTGCCAAGGCAATTCAAAGGACAGAATAATCTTTTCAACAAATGGTGCTGTGACAACTCAATGTTCAAATACACAAGGAATAAAGCTGAATCCCTTCCTCATGCCACACACAAAAATTAACTCAACATGGATCACAGACCTAAATCTGAGCACTAAAACTATCAACTCCTAGAAGAAAACATAGGAATAAATATTCATGATACCAAAAGCACAAATGACAAAAGAAAATACAGACGAAATTATTTTTCATCAAAACTTAAATGATTTGAACCTCAAAGGACCGTAAGAAAGTGAAAAGAGGGGCCAGCGCTGGGGCACAGCACCAGGTTAAGCTGCTGCTTGTGAGGCCAGCAACCCATATTGGAGCGTCAGTTTGAGAGCCTGTTATTCCACTTCTGATTCAGCCTCCTGCTAATGTGTCTTGGAAGACAGCAGAAGATGGCCCAAGTACTTGGGCCCCTGCTACCCACTCGGGAGACCAGGAAGGAGATCTTGGCTCCCGGCTTCAGTCTGGTCCAGACCCAGCTATTATGGCCATTCGGGGAGTAAACCAGCAGATGAAAGATCTCTGTTTCTCTCTGTGTCAGTCTGCCTTTCAAATAAACAAATACTAAAAAAAGAAAGTGAAAAGTAAACTCACAGAGTGGGAGACAATATTTTCAAGCTTTATATCTGATAAGGGACTGGTATCTAGAATAGATAAAGAATTCTTCCAATTCAATAATGATTAAAAAAATAAGTAAACCAAATAAAATTAACAAAGGATCTGAATAGATTATTTCCCCAAAGCACATACACAAATGGCCAAGAAGCATATAAAAGATGCTCAACATCACTCGTTAGAGATGCAAATCAAAACCACAGTAAGATACCACTTCACATCCACTAGTATGGTGCTGATCAAAACCACGGGTAAAACCAAGTGCCGACACAACGATGCAGGGAAACTGAAGCCTTCATATATTACCGATGGGAAGTAAAATGATACAGCTGCTTTGGAAAATAGTTACCATATGACCAGCACATCCACTACCAGGTATATACCAACAGAACTGAAAATATACATCTACACAAAAACTTACACTGTCTACAGTCACCCAAAAGTGAAAACAACCCAAATTTTCATCAACTTATGAACAGATAAATAAAGTATTACCCATACACAGTAAAATTTGCAAATAAAAAGGAATGAAAAGCTGGCACACCGTACACCATGGATAAACCCTAAAAACATGCTGTAAGAAACCAGATACTAAAGGCTATACATGATATGACTCCCTTTATATGAAATGCTTGGAACAGACATTGCCAAGGGTCGAGATAAAGGGGAACGGAGAGTGGCTGTTACTAGGTATGGGTTTTTTGGAGGGGTGGGTGATGAAAATGTTCTATGCTTAAATTAGAACACAGAACAACTTGATTTTCCTAATAAAACAGCTAGTGCAAAAATCAAACATGACCCACATGCTTGTAACAACACCTTTCAGTCTCCCCTCTGAAACCAGTACCTTGTATGTATCACTCTCCAGGTCCTGTGGCTTTTGGTCTTTGTGTAGGGGCTGCAGAGGTTTCATCACTGGTTCATTCCTTTCGCCAGTGCCATCATCAGGGGAGCAAGTGGGAGCCAGGTTTTCAGGTTGAGCATGGGATTGAGCGGAATCCTTCAGCTCCTCCTCCTTCACTTGAGAAATGCTACATTTATTTCCTGGCTCATCAGAGGCATCTAAGTGTATCTGTTGATTGTCCTGAACAAAGCCATCACTCAGTGAGTCCCTCCTTTCTGCAGGTAAGATGTCAATATCTACCCTACTGAGTGTGGCTAGTGACTGTGCAGTACTGCTCATGTCAGGTTTGCTGGCATGGCTCTTCAGATCAGCAGGTGACTTCAAAGGACCACTGAGCACTGGTTTCTCCTGGGACAAACATGCATCTTCACCCTGAGTGAAAACATAGTTTCAAGTTATTACAGCACTCTTCACACCATATACAAAAAATAATTCAAGGGGCCAGTGTTGTGGTGCAGTAGGTTAAGCCACCGCCTACATCCCTGGCATCCCATATGGGTGCCTGTTCAAGTCTCAGTTGCTCCAGTTCCTATCCAGCTCCTTGTTAATGCGCCAGAGAAAGCAGCAGAAGATGGCCCATGTCCTTGGACCCTTGCCACCCATGCGGGAGACCCAGAAGGGAGTTACAGGCTCCTGGATAAAAGATCTCTGCCTCTCCCTCTCTCTCTGTAACTCCGCATTTCAAATAAATAAAAATAACAATAGGTTCCTCAAAAGGCTAACCATAGAATTATTATGTGACCCAAGAATTCCATTCTTAGTTTTACATGCCAAAGAACTTGAACAGTAATCAAGTAGATAACTGTATGCCAACATTTACAGGACATTAATCAAAAGAGCCAAAAAGTAGAAATAATCCAAATGTCCACCAGCTAATGAGGGGATAAACCATGTTGTATATAGTGGAATATTATTAAGCCATAAAAGGGAACACAGTTCTATACAGCTACAACATGGTTGAACGTTGAAAACGTGCAAGGTGAAATAAGCCAAACGCAAAAGGACAAATATTACAAGATTTAATTATATAAAATATAAAGGACAGACACAAATTCAGACAGGAAGTAGGTAAGAGGTCATCAGAGCCTGGGGATAGGGCAAATAAAAAATATTGATTAATAGATACAGTTTGTATTTAGAAAGAGTTTTAGAAGACAGTAGCGATGGTTGCAAAACATTGAATGTAACTAAGGACACTGAATTGTACACCCAAAAATGATTAAAATGTGACCAAGTGGGATTTATTCCTGGAATGCAAGGATGTCGCAACACGAAAATCAATGTAATACATCACATGAACAATAGATCTATATATATACAGATATATTGATATAGATATATACCTAGATATATATGAACAAAATACGTATCTCTCTATATATATCTAGATATACATATATATCTAAATACATAGATATCTCTCTATATAAACATATATATATATATAAAGCCACAGTGAACATCCTATTTTAAAAAGTAAAAAATGAAAAACTTTGCTTCTGAGGTCAGGAACAAGATAAAGATATTCATTCTCATCTGTTTTATTCTATATAATATTGGAAGTTCCAGTCAGAGTAATTTTTTTAAAAGACTTATTTATTTGAAAGGCAGTGCCACAGAGAAAGAGAGAGACAGACAGAGAGAGAGTTCTTCCATCAACTAGTTCACTCCCCAAATGGCTACAACAGACAGGGCTGGACCAGGCCAAAGCCAGGAGCTAGGAGATTCTTCCAGGTCTCCCAGACAGGTGGGGAGCCCAAGCACTTGGGCCATTCTCCACTGCTTTTTTTTTTTTTTAGCAGGAAGCCAGATCAGAAGTGTGGAGCATATGGGATGCTGGCATTGCAAGCAATGGCTTAACTCATTGTGCCACAGTGCCAGCCCCCAGCAGTGTAACAAAGCAAGAATAACGAATAAAAGACACGAAAACTGAAAAAGGAAAAAGCAAAAGTAGCTCTGCTCCCAGATGATATCAACGTGTACACAGAAAACCCTAAAAGATTCCACAAAAGAACTGTGGAACTAATAAATGGATTTAGCAAAGAGGCAGGAAACAAAGTCAACACAAAAAATCAGTTGTGTTTCTATACCCAAACAATTAACAATGTGAAAAGGAAATTTTACAGAATAATTCCATTTCTAACAGCATCCAAAAAAAATAACTTAACTAAATAAAATTAACTTAACCAAAGAGATGGAAGAGTTGTACAAAGAAAACTAAAAAAGGTAATTGAAAGAAAATACAAAATACATAAATAAATGGATACACATCCCATGTTCCTGTTTTGGAAGATTCAATACTGACATGAAGTCAGCACTAGATTCAATGCAATCCATATCAAAATCCCAAGATGCCTTTTGATGAAATAGAAAACCCACCCTGGGGCTGGCACCGTGGCTCACTTGGCTAATCCTCCGCCTGTGGCGCCGGCATCCCGTATGGGTGCCAGTTCTAGTCCTGGTTGCTCCTCTTCCAGTCCAGCTCTCTGCTGTAGCCCGGGAAAGCAGTAGAGGATGGCCCAAGTGCTTGGGCTCTTGCACCTGCATGGGAGACCAGGAGGAACTACCTGGCTCCTGGCTTCGGATCGGCACAGTGCCAGCCGTGGTGGCCATCTGGGGGGTGAACCAACGGAAGGGAAGACCTTTCTCTCTGTCTCTTTCACTGTCTATAACTCTGTCTGATAAATTAAAAAAAAAAAAAAAAACCATCCTAGAGTTCATATGAAATCTCAAAGGATCCAAACTAGTCAATCTTGGAAAGGAAAAATATAGCTCAAGGACTCACTTTCAGTTTTCAAAGATTTATGTATGTAGACATTTAAAAGGCAGAGTGACAGACCAAGTACAACAGTGAGAACAAAACCTTCCTTCTCTGGTTCCCTCCCGAGATGGTCACAAGTGCCAGATCCGGGACAGGCTGAAGCCAGGAGCCAGGAACTCCATCTGGTCTCCCACATGGCAGGCAAGGGGCCAAGCACTGGGCCATCTTCTGTTGTCCTCCAAGGAAGGCACATTAGCAGGAAGCTGGATCAGAAGCAAAGTAGCTGGAACTGGAACCAGCACTCTAAATGAAGCTGGTGTTACAAGTGCTGGCTTAGCTCACTGTGCCACAACAGCAGCTCTAAATGATTTTTGACAAGGATGCCAAGACCATTTGTGTTAGTTTGTTTTCTGTGGCTATTCACTGAGTACCACAAACTGGGTGATCTATAAAGAATAAAAGTTTACTCAGCTCACAGTTACAGAGGCTGAGAGGTCCCAGGTCTAAGAGTGTATCTGATGAGGGCCTACCTGATGATGGGAACTGCAAAGTCCCCAGGTTGCATATGGCATCACATGGAAAAGGGATGCCTTCAAAAGACAGCTGAACAGGCTTTTATAACACAACCACTCTGGATAAGCTATTGATCCATTCATCATCTCTTGACATCTCGCAACGGACATTAAACTTGAACATGACTTTTGGTGAGTACTTTCAAACCAAAGTACTACTGAATGAGGAAAGGACGGTCTTTCCAATAAATGGTGCTAAGAAAACTGGTATCTGCAACAAAAGGATGAAGCTGAATACCATATACAAAAATTAACTCAGCATGGATCAAAGAGCTGAATGTAAGCGCTAAAACTATAAAAATCTTAGAAGAAAACACAGGGTAAAAGCTCCACAACACTGGATTTGGCAGTCATTTCTTGAATACCAAAGGTACAGGGTAATAAAAGGAAAAATAGAAAGTTAGACTTCGTGACAATTAAAAATTTTATCACTGGGGAGATGCTGTGGCCTAGCAGGTTAAGCCAGCACTTGGGCTCCCCACATGCCATATCTGAGTGCAGGTTCAAGTTCCAGATATCTGGCTTCTGATCCTGTTCCCTGAAAAGGCAGCAGATGATGTCCCCATTACCTGGACCCCTACCACCAACACGGGAGATGGAGACGGAGTTCTGGGCTTCTGGCTGCCATTTGGCCTAACCCAGGCCATTGCAGCCATTTGGGGAATGAACAAACAAATAGAAGATCTCTTCTCTCTCTCCTCTCTCTCCCACCTTCCCTCTCTGTTACTCTGCCTTTCCAATACATAAATAAATAAATATATCTTAAAAAAAAAAAAAGATTTTGCTTGGGATGCCTGGTTTGAATTAAAGCTCCTCTGCTTTCAAACAAACTTCCTGCTAATGTACACTGTGGGAAGGAACAGACGATGGCTCAGGCACTTGGATCCATGCCGCCCATGGTGAAAACTTGGACTGCATTCCAGGCTCCTGGGCTCAGCCCAGCCCAGCCCAGCCCTGGCTTTTGCAGGCATTTAGGAAGTAAATCAGCAGAATGAAGATTTGTCTCTCTACTTTTCAAATAAAAATGAATATAGTATTTTTTTAAGGAAAGTGACTGCTTAATGGGTAAAGGATTTCCTTTGGGGTGATTAAAAGGTTTCAAAACTAGATAGAGATGACAGTAGCACAACCTTATGAATATCTTAAATGCACACAACTGCTCACCTTAAAGTAGTTAATCCTCATGCCAGCACTGTGGTGTAGCAGGTAAAGCCACTGCCTGCAGTGCCAACATGCCATATGGGCGCTTGTTTCAGTCCTGGCTGCTCCACTTCCAAACCAGCTCCCTGCTAACGTTCCTGGGAGAGCAGCAGAGGAGGGCCCAAGTATTTGGTCCCCTGTACCCATGTGGGAGACATGGAAGAAGCTCCTGGCTCCTAGCTTTAGCCTGGCCCAGTCCTGGCCATTGTGGCCATTTGGAAAAAGAACCAGCAGGTGGGAGATAGATGGTTCTCTATCTCTCTCTGCCACTGCCTCTCTGTAACTCTGCCTTTCAAATAAATAAATCTATTAAAAGTAAAAAATAAAAATAGTAGATAATTTTGTATAGCATGAATTTCACCTAAAAAATTCTAAGAAATTATAGCACTGATTTCATGAACAGTTTGACACTGTGGAAAGTAAACTAAATAACTCCCTTCACTACTCTTTCTTTACAACAAAATTAATTACACAACAGAATCTCTAGTACAGCAAAATCATTTCACACCAAATAATTTGCCAAGACAACTCACTATTTAAAACAGAGTTTCTAAAACATGTATCCTTTAAAAAGAAACATACCATTATACATGACTTAGAGTCCTCAGAAGAGGGCGGCTGGGAGCAGGCTACTTCATGATTTGCCTCTGAGCTTCTCAACAGCACTGCAGCCTCAGGCTTGGATTTACAGTCACCATTTTTAATGTTATTCTTGGAGGTTTTTCTTTATGAAGAAAAAGAAGTTATCATCAATACAATGAAGATTAAGCGGTTTTATGTACCTGTAGAAAATGTGTATGTACATTACACTTTCTTATAAAAATGCATCATCTGCAGAGAAGTGTTAAAAATCTATAGGGCAGGAGCCGGCGCTGTGGTGCAGCGGGTTAACGCCCTGGCCTGAAGTGCCAGCATCCCATATGGGCACCGGTTTGAGAACCGGCTGTTCCACTTCCTGTCCATCTCTCTGCTGTGGCCTGGGAAAGCAGCAGAAAATGGCCCAAGTCCTTGGGCTCCTGCACCCGCGTGGGAGAGCCAGAGGAAGCTCCTGGCTCTGGATCAGCGCAGCTCTGGCCATTGTGGCCAACTGGGGAGTGAACCATTGGATGGAGGACTCTCTCTCTCTCTCTGTGTAACTCTGACTTTCAAATAAAATACATAAATCTTTAAAAAAAAAATCTCTAGGGCAGGAGTGGTGCTGTGGTGTAGCAGGTAAAGCTGCCACATACAATGCCACCATCCCATATGGGCGCCAGTTCATCTCCCGGCTGGTCCTCTTCCAATCCAACTCTGCTATGGCCTGGGAAAGCAGTAGATGATAGCCCAAGTCCTTGGGTCCCTGCACCCACATGGAAGACCCAGAAGAAGCTCCTGGCTCTTTACTGGCACAGTTCTGGCCATTGCAGCCAATGGGGAGTGAACCAGTGGTTGGAAGACCTATCTCTCTCTCCCTGCCTCTCCTTCTCTCTCTGTGTAACTCTGACTTTCAAATAAATGCATAAATCTTTTAAAAAAAAAAATCTACAGGGCAGAGACCAGCACTATGGCATAATAGGAGGTAAAGCTGCCACCTGTAGTGCCAGCATCCCATATGTGCATTGGTTCGAGTCCTGGATCCTCTACTTTCCGATACAGCATCTCTGCTATAGCCCAGGAAAGTGGAAGATGGCCCAAGTCCTTGTGTCCCTGCAACTATGTGGGAGACCCAGAAGAAGCCCCTGGCTCCTGGCTTCGAATCGGCAAAGCACTGGCCATTGTGGCCATTTTGGAAGTGAACCAGTGAATGGAAGATTTCTCTCTCTCTGCCTTTCAAATAAATAATAAATCCTTTTTAAAAAATCCACAGGGCAAGAAGGGCATAGCAAAGGTGGTTGAGATGCAGGCTGGAACACCCACATCCCAGACTGGAATGTCTGGGTTTGAGTCACAGCTTGGCTTTAGATTCCAGCTTCGTGCTAGTGCACACCCTGAGAGGCAGCAGGTGATGGTTCAAGTACTTAGGTCCCTGCCATCCTCATGAAAAACCCAGATTGACTTCTGGGTTCCTGACTCTGGCTTGGCCAAGCCCCAGCTGTTGTAGGCACTGGGGTAGTGAACCAGTGCGCAGGAGTTCTGTCTACGTTTGTGTCTCTCTACCTTGCAAATAAGTAAAAATAAATAAACAAACATATTTTTAAAAAAAATCAATGGGGCATTCTACAAAATGCCTGGCTAACAGTCTTCAAAATAACATCAAATACAAAGGACATGAGAAATTATCACAGACTTAGGAGCAGTGAGAACGCAGTGTAACATGGTGTCCTGGTGGGATCCTGGAGCAGAAAAAGACATCAACGGGAAAACTAACGAAAGCCAATACAGTCTGGAATTGATTCAACGGTAACACGCCAGTGTTGGTTGGTTTCTTAAGTTTTGACAAGCATACCATGATAATGTAAGAAGTTAATGACAGGCCGGCGCCATAGCTCAATAGGCTAAACCTCCGCCTTGCGGCGCCGGCACACCGGGTTCTAGTCCCGGTCGGGGCGCCGGATTCTGTCCCGGTTGCCCCTCTTCCAGGCCAGCTCTCTGCTATGGCCCGGAAGTGCAGTGGAGGATGGCCCAAGTGCTTGGGCCCTGCACCCCATGGGAGACCAGGAGAAGCACCTGGCTCCTGCCTTCAGATCAGCGGGATGCGCCGGCCGCATTGGCCATTGGAGGGTGAACCAACGGCAAAAGGAAGACCTTTCTCTTTCTCTCTCTCTCTCTCACTGTTCACTCTGCCTGTCAAAAATTAAAAAAAAAGAAAGTTAATGACAGAAGAAATTACATGAGGGATACATAAGAACTCTACTATCTTTATGATTTTTTTTTTTACAAATACAAAACTATTCTAGAGTAAAAATCTATGAGAAGTTGCCTCACATAAGAAGTAAGAGCTTAAGTTCTATCTTCAAGATTCACATGTTTGTAGTAACAGACACTGGAAAGTAAAACTCATTGGCACATTTAGTCCTGACTTGCAGGGTACACAGGCACAGGATCTCCAGTGTTTCAGTATGCTGCTTCCAAAACCAGACTCAACTTGTGGAGAACTCAAAGGAGCACAGAGACCAGTACAGAGGGAGGACAAAGGTCTGTCTGGTTGGAAATTACGGATGTATGACCAAAAGATGGTCACTCTTTGTCGCCATGGCTTCTCTATCACAGCCTGCTCTCCTTCCAAACTGAACACGCTACAGGGCAGGGGAGGCAACCCTGCAGGCAGGACACGTGGGTCAAAGAGAGAATTTTTTTTTTTTTTTTTTTTTTTTTTTTTTGCTGCTGGAATATTTACTACCCCAAGGTATTTGCATAGATTTCAGAGATGGAAAACAGGAGATGTTCTTTATTATTATTATTTGACAGAGTTAGACAGTGAGAGAGACAGAGAGAAAGGTCTGCCTTCCATTGGTTCATCCTACAAATGGCCGCCGATCCGAAGCCAGGAGCCAGGTGCTTCTCCTGGTCTCCCATGCGGGTACAGAGACCCAAGCACTTGGGCCATCCTCCACTGCCTTCCTGGGCCACAGCAGAGAGTCGGGCTGGAAGAGGAGCAACCAGGACTAGAACTGGCACTCATATGGGATGCCGGCTCTGCAGGTGGAGGGTTAACCAAGCGAGCCATGGCACTGGCCCCAGAAAGGAATTATTTTTTCTGTTAAGAAGTTAGAGGGGCTGGTGCTGTATCGTAGCGGGTAAAGCCGCCGCCAGCAGTGCCGGCATCTCATACATGCACCGGTTCAAGACACAGCTGCTTTTCTTCCCATCCAGCTCTCTGCTATCGCCTGGGAAAGCAACACAAAATGGCCCAAATCCTTGAGCCCCTGAACCTGCATGGGAAACCCAGAAGAAGCTCCTGGCTCCTGGCTTTGGATTGGCACAGTTCCAGCCATTGAGCCAATTGGGGAGTGAACCAGAGGATGGAACACTTCTCTCTCTCTGCCTCTCCTTCTCTCTGTGTAACTCTTTCAAATCAATAAATAAATCTTTTTTTTTTTTTTAAAAAGAAGTTAGAGAATGGTGAACTTTGAATGCACTCAGAAACTTCAGCACTGTAAGTAAAGTAATAGTGGGGTTTTTTTTTTGTTTTTTTGTTTTTTGTTTTTTGTTTTTTGTTTTTTTGACAGGCAGAGTGGACAGTGAGAGAGAGAGACAGAGAGAAAGGTCTTCCTTTGCTGCTGGTTCACCCTCCAATGGCCGCTGCGGCCGGCGTGCTGCGGCTGGCACACCTTGCTGATCTGATGGCAGGAGCCAGGCACTTCTCCTGGTCTCCCATGGGGTGCAGGGCCCAAGCACTTGGGCCATCCTCCACTGCACTCCCTGGCCACAGCAGAGAGCTGGCCTGGAAGAGGGGCAACCGGGACAGAATCCGGCGCCCCGACCGGGACTAGAACCGGTGTGCCGGTGCCGCAAGGCGGAGGATTAGCCTAGTGAGCCGTGGCGCCGGCGTAATAGTGGTTTTCTAAATGGTTCTCTAGATTTAAAGCAATTAAGCAAAGTTCAACATGTGTCTGAAGGTGCCAAGAATATGCTGCACCAGAATATGCCTCCTTGGCATAAGGATTATTTCAGGCTAAAGGCACTTTTTAAAAATAGGAGGTGCAAGAAGGCTCTTTGACTCTTTCACTTCCTGTAAGCAAGAGATAAAATCCCAAAATGGAAGTGTGCTCCCTATCCTTATCAAGAATGGAAAGCTGAGACAGAAAATTCTAATTACTTTTTTTAAATTCTGCACACTAGACCTTATTTAAATAATTCTTATCTTCCCTTAGCCTTTCCACATGGTGTACTTTTCCACAAGTGCCTCTCTTCAATCTAGTGTAGAAGCACGGCCGCTAGGGCAGGTGTCGTGGTACTGAGGGTTAAGCTGCCACTGGATGCCAGCAGCCCGTATCAGAGTGCTGGTCTGCATCCCAGTTACTCTGCTTCTAATCAGCTTCCTGATCAGCTTCCTGCTAAAGCACCTGGGAAGGCAGTCAATGAAGGCCCAAGTACTTGGGTCCTGACCACACATGGAGACCCACATGGATTTCCTGGCTCCTATCTTCTATCTGGCCTACCCTTGGCTGTTGCAGGCATCTGGCCAATGAACCAATGGATAGAAGATGTATCTCTCTCTCTCTGCTAAATAAATGTTTAAGGTACTTACACTTTGCTACTTTCTGTGTCCTCACTTCCTCAAGAGGTCTCCTGTGTCTCCTAAAACCCACAGTAAATAAATGTATATGCTGTTTCTCCAGGGAATTTGTCTTATGTCAGTTTCTCAGGCCCAGCCAAGAAACCTAAAAGTGTAGAATTTTCCTCCTCTATGTATTCTAATCATGCAATTTTACTTTGTGTTTAAAAGAAACTCATCATTAATTATTGGATATCAAAATTACAGAAGCGTCTGTCTGTCTCCCCCAGCTATTTGCCAGGAAAGTGTCTTACGCCTTTGTGGCCTCCAAAAACAAGGAGATTTGGCGCTTTATATACGGCTGCCGCAGGATGCTCCTCACAGAGGGTCTCTCATCGGGCCTTTTGCTCAACATTGTTCTTATCAGTTCTGCCAGCTCCGGGCTATAATCTTTTGGCATTGGTGGTAGCTACAAAGAAAAGTAATACTGCAGTTATGACTAATGACTTTACAAAACAAAGTTAAAGACAATAGTCATATATCCACATAACCAAAAAATACCCAGCATACTTGTGTACAGGAAGTACACTGATATCCTGGTGGTAAAAAAAAAAAAAAAAAAAAAAAGATGGAAGACTGCAAAAGCAAAAGCATTTTAAGATTTATTTATTTATTTGAAAGTCAGAGTTAGTGAGAGAAAAGGGGAGACAGAGAGAAAGAGATCTTCCATTGTTGATTCACTCCTCAGATGACAGCAATGTTCTTTGCAGGCATCCACGCACCACTGAGTTTGAAGGTCCAAATACCTACTGATTTTAATATTACTGTAAGATTAATTTAATTTTTTAGAAAAATGTTTAATAAGCACATACAAAAAAGCAAAAATATGCCCATAATTTTTCTACTCAAAGAATCATAAAAGAAGTGAAATTCTGGGGCTGGCACTGTGGTGTAGCAGGTAAAGCCATGGCCTGCAGTGTCAGCATCCCACATGGGCACCAGTTTGTGTCCCGGCTGCTCCACTTCCGATCCAGCTATGGCCTGGGAAAGCAGTGGAAGATGGCCCAAGTCCTTGAGCCCTGCACCCGCATGGGAGTCCTAGAAGAAGCTCTTGGCTTTGGATTGGCCCAGTTCCAGGCTTCAGATTGCCCTAGCTCCAACCGTTGCAGCCATTTGGGGAGTGAAACAGCAGATAGAAGACCTCTCTGTCTGTCTGTAACTCTGCCTCTCAAATAAACAGAATCTTCAAAAAAAACTCTGCCTGTCAAAAAACAAACAAACAAAAAACCCTCACATGAAATGAGGGATGCTTTAAAAAAAAAAAAAAAGAAAGAAAGAAATGATCAATCCCTTCTCCTCTAGTTCTACCTTCCTTACAGGAGGAACCCACCATTCTTAACTACTCACCTAGTAGTTAACTCTACTGATGACTACTCGTCAACTAATCAAAATCAGCACTGATTTCACCACTAGCTGGTCGCAAAGCTGCATTATGGTTAGTTCAAGATTACTTTTTACCTTTCCTTCAATAATTCGATAAACTAAAGAATTCATGTCTTTCGCATTGAAAGCATGCTTCAGGGTGGCCATTTCATAGACACAGCATCCCAGAGCCCAAACATCAGACTGAAAAGAAAAAGAGTAAATGATTAAGTGTCAGAATACCATATTTAGGTTTTTACCCCCCACTTTAAAAAAAGAGACATTGTCCTCAAAAAGATTCAGATAATTGTTCTAATTATTCTGACGGGTTCTGAAATTATGAACTTTCCCAGACAAGGTGAGCCAGTGCACATAGCCCAATCCTACCTTATAGTTGTAGGGTTTGTTGGAAAATAATTCAGGGCTCATGTAGTAGGGTGTGCCGATGAGGGTGCTCGCCATGTCACAGTGGTTCTCTAACACACGGGCGATTCCTAGGTCACCCACTTTTATGATGTTTGTTCTTGTTAGGAACACGTTTTGAGTTTTCAAATCTCGATGAAGGATGTGTTTCTCATGTAAATACTAAGCAGAGAAACAAATTTTCATTACAAATAAAGATACTGATTGATTTACTGATTTCTGCATAACAGCATTGGTTATCCACCTACCAAAACATTTACAATCTCCAAATAAAATAAATAACAATTAATTAAATAACAAAGCTTTTGAATTAAAACATTAAGATCCATACATTAGTTTGCCCAGTACCTTTTAAAATTTTTCTCTAGTACAGTTTATTTTACCATTATATGGACCCAGTTGAAAAGTATGCTTGTGGGGCCGGCGCTGTGGCGCAGGTTAATCCTCCGCCTGTGGCACTGGCATCCCATTTGGGTGCTGGTTCTAAACCCGGCTGCTCCACTTCCAATCCAACTCTCTGTTGTGGCCTGGGAAAGCAGTACAAGTTGCCCTAAGTCCTTGGGGTTCGCACCTGTGTGGGAGACCCAGCAGAAGCTCCTGGCTCCTGGCTTCGGATCAACTCAGCTCCGGCCACTGCGGCCATTTGGGGAGTGAACCAGCGGATGGAAGACCTTTCTCTCTGTCTCTCCCTCTCACTGTTTGTAACTCTACCTCTCAATTAAATAAATAAAAATCTTCTAAAAAAAGTATGCTTCCAAGTGGTGGGCATTTGTCCTAGCAGTTAATCACCAGATGGGGTGCCCAGATCCCATATCAAAACGCCTAGGTTCAACTCCCAGCTGGTCCTTGGGACTCCTGGGAAGCAGCAAGTTATGGTTAAAGAACTTGGGTCTGCATGAAGACCTGGACCATATTTCTGACTCCAGGATTTGGCCTGGCCCAACTGCAGCCACTGCACATGGTCTGGGATTGAACCAGAAGATGGGAGCTCTCTCTGTCGCTGTGTATCTCAAATAAACAGATCTAAAATTTTTATTTGACACATAGATAGTGAGGGAGAGAGACATTCTTCCTTCCATTGGTTCACCCCTCAAGTGGCCGCTACGGCCGGAGCTACGCAGATCCAAAGCCAGGAGTCAGGTACTTCCTCCTGGTCTCCCACATGGGTGCAGGGTCCCAAGCACTTGGGCCATCCTCCACTGCCCTCCTGGGCCACAGCAGAGAGCTGGACTAGAAGAGGAGCAAATGGGATTAGAACCTGGTGCCCATATGGGATGCCAGCGCTGCAGGTGGAGGATTAACCAAGTGAGCCATGGCGCTGGCCCCGATTTAAAATTTTTAAAATGGATGCTGCAAATTCCCAGTGAAGGTAGGACCATTTATACAAAGTCAGATGCACATGCCTCTCAAATCTATGAAATCCTCAGCTTACTAACATTTTTAAGATTTATTTATTGAAAGGCAGCATTACAGAGAGAGAGGGAGAGAGAGAGAGAGACAGACAGAGACAGACAGAGAAGGAGGGAGAAAATCTTTCATCTGCTGGTTCACTCCCTAGATGGCTGCAATAGCCAGGGTTTGGCCAAACTGAAGCCAGGAGCTAGGACCTTTCTCTGGGTCTCCCACATGGGTAAGAGAGGCCCAAGCACCTGGGACATCTTCCGTTACTGTCCTGGGAACATTAGCAGAGAGCTGGAGCAGAAATGGAGCAGTGAGGCTCAAACAGGTACTCATACGGGAAGTTACAGTGTCACAGGCAGCAGCTTAACCTGTTGTGTCAAACACTGACCTTAACATTTTAAAAGATAAAAAGATTACTTTATTTACAGTCAGTATCTTAGAATTTAAACAACAAAGTCAATTAATTCTGGACAAGTCTGCCAGGTTCCAGAGTGGTATTTCATAAACAGTCTCACTTGCAGGTGTGTGGATATTAAAACACAAGCCTGTTTTGTATCTCTACCCACTCTGCCCCAGCAAGTTCACAATCCAAAGCCCCAAGAGTTTATGCACTGTCAGTAGCCCAGCCACCTGTCACTGTGACACAGCTGATAACAAACACAGCCATCCGTCACTCCTTGTCAATCCAGGACTCTCAAAATCGACTCTGCTATAACCTTAAATGAAGAAAAAGCAGACTTCCTCTGCGACCCACGACTTCCACGTCAGCAGCAACCACACAGCAGCATTTCCACGCCTCAGCAGGAGGGATCAGGGTCCCTTTAATTGCATTTTCCAAAACCATACTTTTTTTTCATGCATGCAGCAAACATCTAGGAGAAATTTTTTCTAGAATACACCTGCTATCTTCCTGCCACCTGGGTGCAAGCAGGATGCCCTGAGCCCGGGAGTACCTGCAGAGCCATGGCAATCTGTACGAACCACTCCACCACCTGACTCTCGGGCAGGAGCTGTCCCTTCTGCTCCTTCAGCTTCCGGTACAGGTCGCCCCCTTCGCAGAAGCCCATGACGATGTAGAGCAGACCGTCTCCGCCCTCCCAGGATTCCTTGTAGGTGACGATATTGGGGTGCTTCAGCTGAGACAGGAGCTGGGCTTCCTGCTCCGCAGCTCGGCGCTCCCGGCTGGAGGCGCGCCGCAGGTTCAGCTTTTTTATGACATACTACAAAGAAAACACACCGTGTTGCAGCTTCATACTTCCTCAGGGTTTTCATACATGCTCTCGAAAGCACCAGCGGGAGTCTCTCAGATGATCTATTTTTTGTTTTTCATGAAGCCCAAAATCGAGAAAAATATTTGCTATACTAATGATACTTTCATGGGTTAGACTTAGAGGAATATGGAGTCACAAAAAAAAAACCATCCTTTCCACCCGTACTTTGCAATTTCATTAATGGAGAAAAAATGAGCCAAAGATAACACACCACCGTGATCAATCACAAAATTTGTGTTGGAGATTCCTCATCCACCCCCCCACGAATGTACATATATACCCTCAATACACCCTCAATAGACACCTGCCAACAAAATGGATCTACGGATTACATTAGATACGCAAAGGGGCCTATGACCCAGTAAGGCTAGAAATCATCAATCCTCAACACACTAAATTATTCCCACCTAAAAAATTTAGGAAATTCACTCTAACACCTAACACTCTGTCATTGATCAGCTGAAAGGCTAGACAATTTCGTCAACAAACCTCTGCATACATGTGCTTTGTGAAATGCACACTACGGCTCAAATGCAAAGGGCTTTATTACATCAAGCCCTCCATCCTCAGGGCAAAACCCCAATCATCCTCCAATGCCTGGCAAAAAAAAAAACCTCCTGAGCCCGAGACAAGTAAGGACAGGTGTGAGGACCCTGTACGCAGGAGGAACATCGCCTCTTGGCCTTCCTGGGGTCACTTCAGTTGTTCTAACACAAATATCAACAGCGCCTTTCTGTTTCAAAACCGCCCCAGTCTGTCCAGTACATTCTATGGTCACCCTGTGAACAAACCCGGGGCTGACGGGATAAAGTGCTGTAGGTGAAGCAACGGTGCCAGCGCCAGATCTAAGTTTAACAGGTCTCTGAGGACTTGAAGAACGTGACTGACTGGAAAAGAGCCAGTCGGCGGCAGGGGCCAGTTGGGAAAGAGTGGTGGCCTGGACCGGGGTGGTATTAGTGGAGATGTGGGTGGGAGGCTGCCCTGTTGGCTCAACTAAGGTTGAACACCAATAGTGTTGGGGGCATTAGATGACTGGTGAGGGGGGCCAGTGCTGTGGTGCAGCAGGTAACGCCACCGCCTGCAGTGTCAGCATCCCACGTGGACATGGGTTCTAATCCCAGCTGCTCCACTTCCGATCCAGTTCTCTGCTGTGGCCTGGGAAAGCAATAGAAGATGGCCCAAGTCCTTGGGCCCCTGCACCTACGTGGGAGACCTGGTGGAAGCTCCCAGCTCCTGGCTTTGGATGGAGCCTGCTCCAGCTGTTGTGGGCAACTGGGGAGTGAACCAGCGGATGGAAGACCTCCCTCCCTCCCTCCCTCTCTCTCTGTAACTCTGCCTTTCAAATAAATAAATAAATAAATAATTTAAAAAAAATGACTAGTGAATGACTGGTGGTGCTGCTCGCTGAAACTGGAGCCACCGGGAAGACGATGAACTGGTCTCAGAGCCCAGCAGTCGGCAAGGGTGACAGGTGGGGCCCTTGATTCAAGCAGTAATGTTGGGTCCGAGGAACGCACGGTCCCTGTGCTCACAGAACTGTCAGGGCTTGGGGAGAGGCCTGTAGATCAGGCACACTTGTTAATACAAGGGTCCTGCAAGGAGCTCACGGAAAACAGAATTAAAGATACGTTTATTTGGTACCTAAAAATGCTGAAATCTATGCGTAGTTTTCTCATAATATGCATTTTTTCCATGAACTTTTTGCAGACCCTCTTCTTATGCAAGGGTTTCAGTTCTATTGCACCAAACTAAACTTACGATCCCAAGTCCATGAACTTTTCGAAATACGTGGAGGAAATTTGGGGCGCTTGTTACCGGGGGCCTGGCCCTGTCGGGGCTGTCTGGGACGAGTTCCCTCAGCAAGTATCATCGAGACGCGTGTGTCCACACCAGCGCGGGCCCATCCTCTGGACGGCGCCCTCAGGGCCCCCCGGCCCGCCCGCCGACCCCTCGGGGTCCCGACCCAGCCGACCTGCCTGCCGTCCCGCCGGTGTTTCACGAGCGTCACTTCCCCGTAGCTGCCTCTGCCCACGACCCGCACGTAGCAGTAGGCGGCCAGGGGCATGTTCCCGGCGCGGGCCCACGGTCGGGATGCCACCGCAGCGACGCGCAGGGCAGCGGGCGGCGGCGGGGGCGGCCGCTCATGCCCGGGAGGCGGCGGTGGGGGCGGCTGTTAGAGCAGCAGGGCCGAAACCGGAGCGCCAAGGCCCGGCCCACCGCGACGCCGCTGCCATAGCGATCCGGGGCAGCCCCGCGCATGCTCCGGCGTCCCCCGAGGATCAGCCATAGAGCCGACGCCAGGTGCGGCCAGAGAGGTTCCGCCGCCTCGGGAGGACCAGCCATAGAGTCGAAGCGCCAGATGGCCAGAGCGACTCCCGTAGCGCCGGAGCGCGCGCACCGCAGTGCCACGCTTCGTGGGGCGATTGCTGTAAAGTCGGCCGCGCTTCCGTTATTGCGCACTTACTGGTTCTAAGCCAGAGCTTTGAAAGCGGTGTTTATTCGTTCCATGAACAGTTATGGGCCGCTCAACATAGCCTTCGCATTCTAGCAAGAGGGTGACAGGCCGGAGACTGTCCCAGCAACGTTTGCTAGTGCACTTTGCCGCAGACCTAACAATGTTTCTTTGCTTACAGCAGTTTTTGATTCGTTTCAGAGTACCTGTTTACGTATCTTGGCCTTTAAGGAGTTCACAAACTATTGTAATATCTAAGGGTTTTGTTTTTCCCGCCCCTCCAAGGGCCAATTTTTTTTCCAGTGGCAACAGTTGCGAATTTGTTTTCCAGTGGCGACAGTTGAGAATGCATAATATTAAGCATCACTATCGCCCTAGAACGAGCCTTTGGGGCTGTTCATTCCCAGCGTGCTCCCGGGGGCGGCCGCTGTTCTGATCTTTTCCACCCTAGGTGGAGCCGCCTAGACTTAGAAGTCGCACACTCTGGTGTGTAGTCGTTCCACTCAGCCTGTGTGTGTGACAGGGTCCTTGTTTCAGAATTGCATCTTTGTATTCTGAGCAGACTCCAGCGGCATGACTGTGCCGCACTCCCCTGTTGGTAGGCGCTTGGGTTGTTCCCAACGCAGGCTACGAAGCTCATGAGTCTCTGTGAGCATCACGTGTGTATGTGGACGTTCACCGGGTAAATGGGTAGGAAGGGAATTGCTAGATCCTAGGGTAGGTATATATCTAGCTTTTTAAAGGGGCTTAATATTAAATGAAATGCATTTGCTCGTTTCATGCTTATGTCAACACCGCGAGGCTGGTGCTGCTGCCAATCTGATTTTACAGCAAATGAAGCTGCGTCTGTGGAGTTAAACCTACAGCCCAGGGCTGCTCGCTCATAACCCCCTGTAGCCGCTTGTCCCCTCCCTGCCCTTCAGAAAGCTCCTGGATGATTCCGGTTCCCTGGAGGCCTTTCCCAGTCTTCGTCTGTCCCTCTTCCCAGAGGAAGCCTTTGCCCCTCTGGGGACTCCTCTTCCTTGTTTTCTAGAACGTTCCTGGGTATCCACGCTCCCTTCAGGCTTGAGTTTCCCAGAGTTCTGTGCTCCTCCCTCTGCCGTTCGCCTCCTCTCACTTGCCCTTTCTCAGATCCCTCATTCATTCCACAGACATTTGGGCAGGGCCTGCAGGGTGTCCCGCGGGTGCTAGGCCGTGGAGGTAGAGCGGTGCAGAAGACAGATGGAGTCCTGCACCCCGGGAACTCGCAGGAGCCAGCCCTCGATCGGTGTGGCCTACTAACAAGTCGCCCATGCTGGATGAGGTCAACACCCGGCCACGGTCACCCAGCCCAGCCTGGGCTCCAGTGCAGGGTGCCCCAAGCAAGCACCACATGAGCTCACGTTAGAGGATCAACACGTGCTAAGGCCCAGCGGCCTGGTTCTACGAACTCCTGCCTGGTCCCACACCCTCAATCCAGCAGGTGTGAAGGAAGGGACTGGGGGGGTGACCAGTGAGTGCGTGAAGCGATGCCTGCCTGCATGCATCTGGAAGCAATCGCCACGGCTGCAGCCGAGAGACCCAGAGGGGCCGTGGTCTGGGCGAGACAGGGCGGTCGCGGGGGCGGGGCACAGGGGACCTGGGAGCACGAGAGTCTAGGAAAGGCAGCCTGAGCTTTCTCCGTGATGCCGCTGGCTGCTGCGGAAACAGGGCGGATGCAGGGGGGCGGCCATCTGGGTAGGATGAGGACGACTGGGACTTGGTCTCCGACGAGTGGACTAGAGAGAGAGGTGGGAGACAGAGTGGGTGGTCCAGGGCAGGCTGCCATTGGGATGCTCGCCAGGTTTCAGGCTTGGTGGGTGGCCTCGAGTGCCCTTGGTGGGTGCTCGAGTGGACAGCCAAGGGGAAAGATCAGGCTGGGCAGGGGGTGAAGGGAGCAGGGGAGAAAAAAGCTATTTAGTGTTTCCTACCCAACAGGCTGGCCGCTGTCAGCGCCCTGCAGCAGCTGGTCCTGAACCACCCGCCGGCCTCCCTCGCTACCCTCCTGGGCCACGCCTGCTGCCCTCCCACACCCCTTCCCAAGCACACTTGGCACCCACCCATCTGCCTTTCTCCCCTCCCCTTCCCACCTTCACGCCAGGCACCTCCTCCGGGAACCATCGAACCCTCGTGGAAATGACCCCCCCTTCATATTTCCACAGCTTTTCCTCCACGCACCTCTCCAGCCTCCAGCCGCTCCTGGGACCGGCTGGCCTTCCTCTGGCCGGACTCCTTCCTCCCCAAGTGCAGCTGATTGGCTGTGACGAGGCCACAGGTTTGTTCATGGTGCTGTCTCAGTGCCTGGCAGGTGCCCAGCGCACCACAGGCTAGGGGGCGACACCGGGGCAGGAAACAAACGGAACCTCAAGTGGACACTTCCATGTGGCTCCAGATCAACTTGCACAGAGGCCAGAAAACAGGCCAGAGGTTGCCCTGGCACGAGGACAATCACCCCTCTCCCAGCAGCTGTTTGGTGACAGAGTCCGGGGCAAACAAACAGATCAGGGAGGCCTCTGGGCCCCTCATCGTGTCAGGTTCAGGGACCAACCAGGGGCCATGTGTGCTGTGGCTGGGGGCGCGGAGGGTTTGGACTTAAGAACTGAAAGCTGCAGGCAGGATAGGAAGGAGCTTGCGCCTTGGCTTCTCCCTCCTCCGTAACACAGCGGCAGCATTGCTGTCGTCGGAAGGGATGACGGTCTGTCCCTGGGCTTGCCACTCTGAGTGACCTGGTTTGAAGCCCTCTCCTGTCGCTCACTGTGGGACCAGTGTCTCAGGCACATGAAGAGGATAAGGTCAGATAGGAAGAGGCTTAGGACGAATGCTTGGTGCATAATGAAAACGTGGCACTCGCCTGCATCGTGCCGTTCTCCCTGCCCGGGGGGAAGACGGGTGAAGCCACCGTCTGTTGTCCTTCCCAAACCTGGGAGAGGAGGACACAGGAAGCAGGTGGCCTAGAGTTAGGCCTCCCTGACTGCCCACTGCCTCTGACAGAACCCCCGTCAGGGTCGGCGCTGCGAGCGCCATGGGCGTCTTAGACCTCACAGCGCTCCCCAAGCCTCTGCCTCTTAGAGGGCAAAGCCTAACGAAGTTCAGAACCCATTTATCATTCTGGCTTCTTGCGCCAGCCCAGGCTGCACCAAGCGATGGGGGGACTCCACCGACTGCAGCAGCCGAGAGCAGGTCTACACTCAAGAATGCAACCTGGGGGCCAGCGCTGTGGCATATGGAGGCTAACCCTCCACCTGGGGCGCCGGTTCCAGACCCAGCTGCTCCACTTCTGATCCAGCTCTCTGCTGTGGCCCGGGAGGGCAGTGGAGGATGGCCCACGTGCTTGGGCCCTGCACCCACGTGGGAGACCCGGAAGAAGCTCCTGGCTCCTGGCTCCTGGCTTCAGATCAGCCCAGCTCCAGCCGTTGCAGCCATTTGGGGAGTGAACCAGAAGATGGATGATCTCTCTCTCTCCTCTCACTCTCTATCTTTATCTCTCTCTCTTTCTCTCCCTTTCTCTTTCTGTAACTTGGCATCTCAAATACATCTTTAAAAAATAAAAATAAAAATAAATAAAATTAATTAAATTAAATAGAAGACAATGCAGTCTACAGCCCGGTCAGGAGTTCACACAGCCTGGAGCCAGGAACGCCCTAATGAGAGCGCCTTCTTAGCTGAGATCTGATTCCCCGGGTTGAACTATTTGCCTTCACCTTGTCTAATGTTTAATCCATGTTTATCCAGCACTGTATTGACACATGGTCTGCGCGAAGGGACAGGGCAGCGGGAGCCTGGGGACTCCTCCGTACAGTGCCATGGGGCCTCGGGGACTGCTGTGCGTGTGCCTGGTGTCCCTCCTCATCTTGCAGGCCAGGCCTGCTCCGAGCTCAGCCACAGGCAGGTCCAAGGGCAGTCAGGTACGTGGCTACGCACCCGGGACAGGAGCAAGGCCGCTGAGCCTGGTGGGGGCCCGGAGGGACACAAGACCCCCCCCCCCAGGACCAGGGCCATCCCCGCCTACCTTGACCATCTCTGACTATAGAGATGACATCCCAGCAGCAGGAGAGATGCAAGGCCAAGGGCAGAGGACACCAGCTGCACCCCATTCCCGCCCCTAAACAGATAGGCTGCACTCCCCTCAGCGTTCCCATTCATACTCGACTCTGCCTCTGTTTTGCAGAAGCGACAGGCTGTGGACAGAGTGAGTGAGATTCTCAGCAAAATGGTCTGTGTCGGGGCCCTCAGCACTGGCTCGCCTTCTCCCTTCCCTAGGGGGTTCCCCTACGTCAGTGCGCAGGAGGAGGGGGACCCTCATCTCCTAGAATGGGGGCTTGTGCCCCACTGCACTGCCTCAGGCAGAGAGGAGGGCTGGTCCATTCCCCCAGTTCCGGGGTACCCTGTGTCACTGCCCCGGGGCAGCAAGGAGGTCCCCTTCCTCCCGCAGTGGCTCAGAGACCCCCTGCCCCTCCCGTCTCACGGCAGACAGTGGATGGCGTGCTCATCCGGAGTTTGAAAGTCAACTGCAAAGTCACCTCTCGCTTCGCCCACTACGTCATCACCAGCCAGGTGGTCAACAGCGCCAACGAACCCAGGGAAGTGGCCTTCGATGTGGAAATTCCCAAGACAGCCTTCATCAGCGACTTCGCCATGTGCGTGCTCTGCCTGACTCCCACATCCTGGCCCCAGGGGCGGGGGAGGGTCCCTGGGCCTGTCCCAGCCTAAGGCCGTCTCCTTGGTGCCCGGATGGCCTCTGTGTTCTTGGTTTTGTCTGGCAGAGCAGACCGGGGTGTGTGGTGGCCGGTTCTCAGCCCA